ATTTGTGGGTTTCTTTCCTGGATGTATTTAAGAACAGGCTAATCATCCACCTATCAACAAGCCTTTAATTTGGGTCTCCACAATGAGCAAAGGGATGGATTACATGGCGTAATTCACCAGTGCTGTGGCTCCCTGTGGGGTATTCCAACTTGGGCAATAAAACCAATTTGGTAAATTTTAGCTCAGTGAAGCATTTTCATTGACTCAAAATTATAGAATCATAAAATAAGAGTTGGAGATAATGTAGTTCAAAATTTCCCAACCTTGGTAACTTCTTAAGGAGTGGCATCCAGTACCCAGAATTCAACATATCTGAATTTTTCATGGTTGGGAACAGTGATCCAGTCCAAGCCCTTACCATATGTAAGAATCAGTAACAACAAATGGCTATCCAGTCTTTCAAATACCCCCACCTAAGAGTATCATCACCTCCCAAGGCAATCAAATTTGTTCTTGAACAGAATTTACCAATACAAAATAAAAAGAAGCAACAAGCTTTTTTTTTTTACGGCTGTATTCATGTTGTGTAGCCGTGAACACAGCCCATACAAATTGTTGATTCCTGTCTCCCTTAATACACTGGCTAAACATGCAGTTAGTGGCAGATTGTTGCTAATTGCTAGCTATGTCCTGGACCGGAGACATGAATTATCCATTCTTTGTCCTCAAATATCATGTTTTCTTCTACAAGATAAGAGAATATAGCCAAAAAGGATTTCATGACAGCATCATCCTTGGTTAAATGCAGTGAACTTCCCCTTCTTTATTAGTTTAAAATTTGAGTCAGATGTTTTAAGTGGAAGGCTGTATAAAATTCATTGTCATCCATTTAGTTGTTGTTTTTTTTAAAAAAATCTTAGGAGAAATTTTGGCTTCAAAATTTCCACTCAGCCTTGAAGTCCAGAGGATGATTTTCTGACAGACATGGTTACTCTCAGCCTAATCTACCTCACAGGATTGTTATGAGGAAAAATGATGGGAAGAAAAGAATGGAGTCATATATACCACCTTGATTTCCTTAGATAAAGGGTGGAGAGAAACGGAATCTATCTCACTTAAATAAAAAAAGAAAGAACTACTATTTTTATGGATTTGCTCAAAATATTGTGGACTAATAGCTGGTGGGTTTATGTGCAGAGTTGATACCTAAATACAAAAGCACAAGAGCAACTAGGTTAGGGATAGTTGAGGGTTTGTAGGTTAGATCCAGTCCAATTTTACAATATGATTTTGATATTATATCTGAAGCCGGTTTCATTATATTTTAAAGCTAGAGGATTTGGTTTGATTTATGGTAATTTCAGGAAATAACTGCCTTTAATTCATAGAATCCGTTTGATGTCTTTAGCCTTTAAGTGTTTACAGTGTTGTATTCCTTGAAAAGAGAAGCAAGAGGCAGGAAATTTAAATCGATTGAAGATCCATTCAAGAACGTAAGAAATGTGACAGCATTTCATCTCTTTTGTGAATGTTAGGGCACTTATCTCTAACTGCTATCGTACTGTGGCCAGCTTTAAATACAAGTAAGAATGTTGGAAATCCTCCTGCTCAACAAAAGAAGTTTTTTGCAGCACAAACCAGACAGAGAGATTATGCTAGTGGCTAGAACTTGGATTTTAAATTTCTGTTCTCAATCAGGATATTCACATTTTTGTTTTTGCTACTCTGGTCTTGCAACATCATTTAATCTCTGAAGGATCTATGGTTACCATCATGCTATAGATAGAAATTTCTCTATCCATGTCAGATCATTATTGCCTGTACCAGGGGTCTTCAAACGTGGCCCTTTTATGACTTTGTGACCTTCTCACAATGGGGAAGCCAGATTCACTTAACAACGCTGTTGGTAACAATTGCAATGAGTCACTGAACAACTGTGGCAAGAAAGTCGTAAAATGGGGCTTTACATCGTAAAATGTCATTTAACAACTATCTCACTTAGCAACAAGGATTACTTGTATTTCTCTTATTGTCACAAAGGGTGTCGTGGAAATGACTTAAAATGTTTAGTATGTTTGTTTTTTGTGCTTATTCTTCACCAACCTTCCCCATTTTACTGGTTATTCAGATGTGCAGTCCCCAGCTCTAAGATGTTGCTTGTGCCTAAAAATTCTGGGAGATGAAATAAAGTAAAAAGTAAAATAAAAGTAAAAACCTGCATTGTTCTCCTTCATACTGCATAATTTGCATAAGTAGATTTCAGCCTTAGGAATTGAGTTACCTTAAGGAGGAAAGAAATATAACTGAACTGGAGTTTAGGACCTGTTTTTTTTTTTCCACCTTCATAATTCTGCTGCACCTTTTTTTTTTAACGGGCAAGTTTTTTTCATTTTTAATCGCCTCTTTTATCTCTACCAGAGATGTAAAGCACCAAGCTGCCAAATGTAAGGACAATAGCTCGGTGCCATTATCATAACATGTAAACGTCAATACATTTTTCTCCTTTTATAGAGCTCTTAAGAGCAAGCTGATAAACATGAAGACAGCTTTCTATGTAAATGTCTTTCCATAAATTTAATCAGCATTCTTGCAGGTTCAATACCTTGAGTCTCTGAGCCTTTCCTTATTTCTGAGTTCAAGTGCTCTCCATCCATCCTTGAGTTGGCAGCAAGCTGTACTGATATTGTTACCCCTCTGCCCTCTCTCTTCCCAGCCACTGACAATTATCTGATTTCTCTCTAGAATACAGGTAGTCCTCGCATTACAACAATTCATTTAGTTACCATTTGGAGTTACAATGGCTCTGAAAAAAGTGACTTGTGACCAGTTTTTGACACTGTGGCAGCATCCCCATGATCACATGATCAAAATTCAGATACTTGGCAATTGACTCATATTTATAACGGTTGCAGTGTCCCAGGGTTGTGTGATCATCAAGGGGGAAGTCAGATTCATTTAATATCTGTGTTACTAACTTAACAACTGCAGTGATTCACTTAACAATTATGGCAAGAAAGGTTGTACAATGGGCCAAAATTCACTTAGCAAGTCTCACTTAGCAACAGAAATTTGGGGCTCGGTTATGGTCGTAAGTCAAGGACTACCTTTAAAGGGTTATAAAACCTAACACAATATTTTTCAAACTTGGCAGCTTTAAAATGTTGTGGACTTCAACTCCCAGAATTCCCCAGCCAGTGAAAACTACTGGCCTAAAAGATTTAACATACCGTAATATTCATCTTGGACAATGTTGGAATAAGTGGGAAGTGAGGAATGGGAAGCACTTTTGCATCACATCAACTAAGATGAACTGGAGAGGAGATCACGGCAATAAAGCAGAAATTGTTACCAAGGCATGCTTGTGCCAGGGTGAGATGCAAATGGGAGGGAATGTCCTTTAACATGTAATGGTCATCCTTACCATGTGGATAGCTCAAGACAGAGAAAGTTGCAGTTCTAATTCTAAGTGTCCTTATGCTCTGGATTAAGCATTTTCCTTGCAACCTAATAGTATTGTGAAGGGCTTCCTAATTTCCCATGCAGTACTACATGGGTTGAATGCCCCCTGGATGAGATGGCGATGAAGCATTTATGCTTGGAAATACACACACAAACTTTTTTCATGGAACACATGCAAAGATTTGCTTTCTAAATATACCATTATTGCTATTTATAATATCTTTCATAGATGCTTAATTCACAGATATAATAGGAACAAAGAGAGGAACCCTGGCTAAATAGCAGTTTTGAGAAGAGGTCCCTCCACCATTCTTGTACCTTTTCCATTGTCCCTCTAACTTCTCAGTTAACTCTGCTTCTGTTTCTTTCTCTTCCATACAGCAAAAGTTACCATAAATGCCGGCGTATAAGGCGACTTCCGCGAGCGCTGAAATCGGCGCCAAAGACGGGGGTCGTCTTATACGCAGAGCCGTCTTATACGCCGGAAATACTGGTAGTTTTCGGCGTATAAGACGACGTTCTAGGAATGTGGCTCGGCGATAAAGACGGGTCATCTTATACGCCGGGTCGCCTTGTACACCGGCATATACGGTATTTCTCTGCCTCAAGCTCTCTATCCAGCACTAAACTTAGCTTTGAAGTAAAACGCAGGATTTAGTTAGAGTTATCAAATTTCAGAGCAATGACCCAAGAATGGCTGTGCATGGCCATTCTTTCAATTTTGCACATGCTCTGGGACCATTCCTGGGTTTTTGTGGGAAGTTGTAAGAATCAATAAATGTAGATACCCAAGGTTTATTTCAGTCATAGAAATCAATCCAATGCATACTAATTTGACAGAGAAGAAAAAAGGAAGACGACTACAATTAGCACTTGACTTACGACCACAACTGAGCCGAAAATTTCTCTTGCTAAGTTGTTAAGTGAATTTTGCCCCATTTTATGACCTTTCTGGCCAAAGTGATTAAGTGAATCACTGCAGTTAAGTTAATAACACTGTTGTTAAGTGAATCTGGCTTCCCTGTTGACTTTGTCAGAAGGTTGCAAAAGGAGATCAAGTGACCCTGGGACACCGCAACCATCATAAATATGAATCAGTTGCCAAGAGTCTGAATTTTGATCACATGACCACAGGGATGTTGAAAGGGTTGTAAGTGTGAAAAACGGTCAAAAGTCACTTAGTGCCGTTCTAACTTTGAACGGTCACTAAATGAACTGTTGTAAATTGAGGACTACCTGTAATTGGTAGCTCTAATTTAGGGGGTCTCCATCCTTGCCAACTTTACAACTTACGGACTTCAACTCCCAGAATTCTTCAGCCAGGTTGGCTGGCTGAGGAAATTTGGGAGTTGAAGTCTACATGTCTTAAAGTTGCCAAGGTTGGAGACCCCTGTTCAAGTTCATCCACAGCCTTCTTCTGTTCCATCCTTTCTCTGCCAATGCATCTTTTATCTGCAGTTCCTCATTTCTGAAGCCTATCAAACATTTGCTACTAAACAGACACATTTGAAGGAAGTGCTATTGCGGAGAATGCAATGAATTGATTTCACAAAGCTTTGGTACATTACAGTAGAACTCTAGTGCCTTTCTTGTTTCCGTAGGTCTGGTGAAGCTGGGCATACACTGCATCACAGGGCAGAAAGTTGCCATTAAGATAGTGAACCGGGAAAAGCTTTCTGAGTCTGTACTGATGAAGGTAAGCGAATCATATTTCTCAGGATTATAGCAGGGGGTTGAGGGATGGGTGAGGGAGATTGGAGAAGATGGAATCCAAAAGAGCAAAGGACTGAATCCACAATCCAGCGAGAAATACATTGCATGCTATGCTTTCTATGCATCTCATCTCTTGCCTCTCACTTTCCTTCCCGTGGGAAGGTCGAAGTCTGATAAAATCTAATTGATTCATAGTCTGTATTAGTGCCCCGAAAGAATTTGCCAGTCAATTTCTAGCCACTGGGAAATTTGCAAAAGTAATGCAGTCTCTCACCAAGTTGTCAAGTTTAAGGAAAGCAGCACAGAGTGATGTTACTAAGGTGGCTTCTCCACTACTTAGAGTTACTTAGAGCAACTTCATAGCAACCCCTAGCTGTCATTGAAGTTATATGCATCCTGTTCTCCTCGTTGCAATCCCATCAATTTGGCACAGCAATGGAGGGATGACTCTAGAAAGAGTTCTAAGTAACTGATGGAAGTTGGGGGGCAAACTATGATATAAGCATCATGCAAATGCATGACTTTTAGATATTTGCATCTGACATCATGACTCAAGTACACACTAGTATCATTTGTGCAATAACCTCATGGTACACACGTCCTTTCGGCATCCTCACGGCTTGCTGTGGACTCTTGTGGCAGGCAGCAAGTTGTTAGTGGAGAAGGAGCAGTAAGATTTTGCTGCCTAACAAAGGATGTGCAAAACATAGACAGGTATTCTAAATGTAGATGGCCTCTAAGTGAGACTGGCATAACCCAGAATAGAATTGGGTTTAGGTTAAACTTCCATGGCTCTAATATTCTGACCCTGGCTTGTTTGTCCAGATGGTCTCAGTCTGCACCACCAGAGCAAATCTTTTTCCATGCCTTTGATTTGTTCTGAAATGGTATAGGATTTCTTGTCTGAGCAGGGGGTTGGAGTAGATGACCTCCAAGACCCCTTCCAATTATTATTATTATGGATCATCGCACAGTCAGCCAGATGTTCAGACTGGATTTGGCATTTTGTCTACCTATCGAGTCCTTACCCAGGACCTGGGATAGGCAGATGTGGATGTTTGATAGTATTACAGATATCGTCGCAGGATGGAAGCAGTTCCTAGTAAGGCCGCCTTTTGCAATTGACTAATAGCGAATTTGTCAATGCCAGTGGTGTTCAAGTGGTGCTCCAGTTGTTTTGGGATTGCACCCAAGGCACCTATGACTATTGGTACTACCCTTGCTTGCTTTTGCCACAGTCTTTCTATTTCTATTTGTAGGTCTTTGTATTTTATTATCTTCTCCAGTTCTTTCTCGTCTATTCTGCTGTCTCCAGGCACTGCCAAGGCCCCTTCCAATAATAATAATAATAATAATAATAATAATAATAATAATAATAATAATAATAATAATAATAATAATAATTATTATTATTATTATTATTATTATTATTATTATTCCTTCCCCCTTTTTTTTCTTTTTCCTCCTTTTCTTTTCCTTTTTCCAGGGGTGCTTTTGGGGTATGGTGCTCTACTCTGGAGTCCATGGCTAAATCTCAACATACTATACATTTGAGTAGGATTAAACACACTAAAACTACATAACCCAACACCCAGCTTCTTTGTTATAATAACTGTTTATGAGACATGATTACTTGTGTGGCACATGAGCTATTCTGTGATGGCTGTTCACTATTCATACAGAAAATGTTAGTAGTCTGCTCTTGATTACACTAGAAATTTCCCCTCCCAGTGATGGGATTTAGATTGACTTCCAGATGAATTTTTAATCCTAAATGATGCAATCAAGACCAGTACCTGATCCAGCATGCTACAATATCCCTGCCTGATTAAAAGACCACTCAAGGGAATAGGCAGTTTGCATGCATAAATTGCTTCCATTTCTTTCCTATTTGTTTTTTTTATCAAATTTATATAGCCACCCATCCCACAAAATTTACTCTTAAAGGGTGTACAACAAATCTAAAAATTTCATTAAGAAATATTAGACTATCATTATTGTAATAATTATTAAAACATAAAAACTATAAAAATAATTGAACTTAAAATGAAGGAAGAGTAGGTGGAGAGATATTCATATCAATATTAGTCTAGCCTGAAGGACCCAGAGATTGCAAGGAAAGCACTGTTCATGCAAAGTAGACCAAGGACAATAGTTTTCCAAATCTCAAATTTTTTATTTGTTTGTTTGTTTGTTTATTTATTTATATAGCTACTCATCTTACCCAAAGTGATTCTGGGTGGCACACAACAATGAAAATGAACATATAAAAATGGTGATTTTATTTATTGTCTGTCTGTCTGTCTGTCTGTCTGTCTATCTATCTATCTATCTATCTATCTATCTATCTATCTATCTATCTATCTATCTATCTATCTATCTATCTCACATCCTGGGAAAAAATTTCAACTTTTCCCCTCAGGATGCCACTATAGGGCATTGCATTCCAAAACAACTAGACACAAAGAGGTTTTTTCCCATGCCATCACTCTGCTGAACACCTAACTCCCACAGCACTGTCTTATGCCTAAGGATATCTAACCATGTAGTAGGACTGTATTACTATTATCCTTCTCATCTCTCCTGTTACCTGCTTCTATTGGCATCTTATGACTATTACTTTGTTGGTTGTATCTTATAATTTATTATTGTATCTTATGATTTATGACTCTGTTGCTTGTATGTATACTGAGAACTTAGTATACATACTCAGAGACAAATTCCTTGTGTATCCAATCACACGTGCCCAATTAAAACTCCTCTCCTCTCCTCTTCTCTTCCCTTCCCTTCTCTTCCCTTCCCTTCCCTTTTCTTCTCTTCTCTTCTCTTTTTCCCTTCTCTTCTCTTCTCTTCTCTTCTCTTCTATTCTATTCTATTCTATTCTATTCTATTCATCAAATTTCCATATAGCCTGTCAGGCACAAGTAACTAGCAACAGGTTTGAGTTCAAAGCACTAAAAGTTTATTACATGCTATATGTATGCAAGAATCTGATCTACTAATGATCAAGACAAATTGGCGCTAAGTAAGAGTTAACAGAGTTCATGGGCTGGTGGTGATGGTGGACTCAGGTCTCTTGTGGCTGCACAAGGATAGCACATTTGATCCTGCATTCAGGCTCTGCCTAGTCATCTCTTATATACACCACTCCTTATATATGTGGGACTCTGGCTTGTTTACAAATAAAAATACAAATATTTAAAAAATATTGCAATAAATATCATAAAAACCTAAAAAAATACGAACTGAATGACTGAAGGAAGAATTAAAAAATTACCCCATCAACAACGAAGGTCTAGGCAACATCTAGGCAGGTCTTCCAAATCATTCTTGCTCAGTAAGCATATCATGAAAAGTACAGGTATTCCTCAAATTACAATAGTCCATTTAATGGCTATTAAAAGTTTAAAAACAACAACGACATGACCACTTTTCACACTTACGACCGTTGCTTCATCCCCATGGCCATGTGATCAAGATTTGGATGGTTGGCAACTGACTCACATTGATGACGGTTGCAGTGTCCCAGGATCATGCAATCAGTTTTTTTTTTTAATTGAAAATTTTTAGATATTTTTACAAAAAGCAAAAAAAAAACAAAAAAAAAATAACCCTCGCCCACCCACCCCAACCCTCCCTTTCCATCCCCCCCGATCTTCCCAGAGCTGAGTATAGGCTTAATTAAAATTTTTAAGAATCTTAAAAAAATTGAAAAAATATAAGTCATAAATATATCTAAATACCTTACATAAACAATTTATAAAGTAATTAACAATCATGCAATCAGTTTTTGTGACCGTCTCACTAGGATTATCAAAGGGGAAGCCAATTTCGCTTAGCAAACGTAGTACTAATTTAACAAGTGCAGCGATTCATTTAACAACGGTATCAAGAGAGTTCGTAAGATGGGGCAAAATTCACTTAACCAATATTTCTCTTAGCAACAGAAATTTGGGGGCACAATTGTGGTCGTAAGTTGAGGACCACCTGTACTTCCTTTGGGGTCTTGCTCCCTTGGGGTTTAGGCAGATTTGCCCCCCCCCCCACTTCTGTCATTTCTCTTTGTGAAGGAAGACCTTGCCCCTCCTTGCCCCAAGCCTGCTTGTAAAGCTCTTAAGTGCAGCCTGTCAAGCACCAGTCAGGAATGGTTCAGATAGAACACAGAGCTAATCCTCGACTTACAACAGTCCATTTAGTGACCATTCAAGGTTACAACGGCACTGGAAAAAGTGACTTATGACTGTTTTTCACACTTATGACCTTTACAGCATCTCCATGATCATGTGATCAAAATTCAAATACTTGGCAACTGGTCCATATTTATGATCATTGCTGGGTCCCAAGTCATGAGATCACCTTTTGTGAAGTAAAATCAACGCTGAAGACCAAAATTAAAACAACAGCCACTTGCTCTTTAAAGTGTTCTATAACTGTCCTAACCATCGAAAGGTGTAAACATCCACCACATAACACCTATTGAAGAATCAGCATCTGTCACTTGTTTTTGATGCACAATAGTAATTTTAAAAGCTTCAAAAAAGCTTTAAAACCTGCCTCAAATAGCAACTTTTATCTGTCGCAGCAAGGTGTGAAACTGTACAGGTGGTCCTTGACTTATAACCATTCATTTAGTGGTTGTTTGAAGTTACAATGGCACTGAAAAAAAAAGATTTATGACCATTTTCCACACGTTGCAGCATCCCCATGGTCACGTGATCAAAATTCAGATGTCTGGCAACTGGTTTATATTTAGGACCGTTGCTGGGTCCCAAGTCATGAGATCACCCTTTGCAAACTTCTGACAAGTAAAATCAATGGGGAAACCAGATTCATTTAGCAACCGAGCTACTGACTTACCAACTGCAGTGATTCCCTTTAATAACTGTAGCAAGAAAGATCATAAAATGGGGCAAAACTCACTTAACAAATGTCTCACTTAACAACAGAAATTTGGGACTCAATTGTGGCCGTACGTTGAGGACTACCTGGAGTCTATTCCAGGGGTGTCAAATTGCCGGCCAGCGGGCTGGATGCATCATCGCAAAACTGCGCCCACCCCATTGCTGGCAATGGCAAAAAAGTCACGATATGTCGCGGCATGTCATGTGACATTGCGAGTTTTACACCCCTGATCTATTCTCTTCTGGAGCCGAGATAGGAACCAATGGCCATGAATGGCAGTGACCAAAGGGAGGGTCCTGGTGAAGCCGCCTGAAGTGACCACTAGGAGCTGGGGAAATCTTACCCCTGTCTGCATCAGCAACTAGGCTCTCAGTGAGGCACAGATGAAGCATATTGCCTGCCAATTATATTGGGAGAAGAGAGGGAAAATGACTTTAAAACTAAAGCAACTTTACTCTGCTTCAGCTGTGGGTTGTGGGTAAGAGGACATGGTTTTGTATCATGCTTGGAGAGAGGCCATGACACCTTCAGGGGACACCTTCTGTGATACGTGTCTGTAACTATTCCTTCTGGATATTGTGGTTACACAGGCTTGATGAATGCATCACCTGGCAGGACAACACAACCACTCATGATTCAAAGAAATTATCATAAAACCAGGGAAAGAAAGAAAAAACCTGGCATACGAAGAAAACAGCAAAATAATGTAGTAGGGAATAAGTGACATGAATATGAGCCAATGGGAAAAATCCTTGTCTCCATCTGCTTCGAGCTCTGCATCCTAGGACACAAAGAGGATTTTATTTTATTAATTTATTTATTGAATTTATATCCCACCCACCTCACTGTGGCTCCTCTTATTCCTGTACATATAAACACTCGGAAAGGGACAAATTGCTGCAGCCAACTCGCCATGGCCAACTCATCGCGGGACAACCTGCCCTGGTGGGGCAATTTAACAATTCAATGTAATTATTTTAAAAAAATAAAATATATATATATTAATTTTTGTCATTCACATTTTATTTTGTCCCTGTTTTTGCATCCCTTTTTTAATGATTCTATTCCACCATTTCTTTGATATTAGTGTAACTCTTGTCCTGGAGCTTTTCACGGTGAGTTGGATGTGGCTACATGGCTGCAGCACGTTGGCTGTGGCAAGCTGAGCATGGCAAATTGTCACAGACCCACAAAAACTTTCTCTCTTTTTTCTTCCATTGCAGGTGGAACGGGAAATTGCCATTCTGAAGTTGATTGAACACCCTCACGTACTCAAACTCCACGATGTCTACGAGAACAAAAAATACTTGTAGGTATTTATTTGCAGATCACCTCCCACTTGCAAATGGAACCCTGGATATTTACCTGCCAGAGTGAAATACAGGTAGTCTTCGACTTACAATAGTTCATTTAGTGACCACTTGAAGTTACAACGGCACTGAAAAAAGTGACTTTTGACTGATTTTCACACCTAACGACCGTAGTCACGTGATCAAAATTCAGCCACTTGGCAACTGACTCATATTTATGAGGGTTGCAGTATCCCGGGCTCATGTGATCAACTTTTACGACCTTCTGACAAGCAAAGTCAATGGGAAAGCCAGATTCACTTAGTAACCGTGTGACTAACTTAAGAACTGCAGTGATTCACTTAACAACTGTGGCAAGAAAGGTTGCAAAACGGGGCAAAACTTATTTAACAGCTGTCTCACTCCACAACAGAAATTTTAACTGCAATTGTGATCGTAAGTCGAAAACTACCTGTAGTTTTTTCTAGATCAGGGGTAGGCAATCTTGGCTCTTTTATGACTTGTGGACTTCAACTCCCAGAATTCCTGAGCTGGCTGGCTCAGGAATTCTGGGAGTTGAAGTCCACAAGTCATAAAAGAGCCAAGGTTGCCTACCCCCGTTCTAGATATTAGCCACATTCTAACCTAGAATATTGTAATCTCTTTTCATGGATTTGCTTGCTAAGGATGCTACATTCAGGAGAAATATGGGGCCTTCTTTCAAGTCATAGATGTACTTATAGGGATTATAACTCCAGACTTATAATCATACGAATGGATACATAAATACAATTACATGCAGATTAAAAACTACTAATAGCACAGACAACATGAAAATTGTAGTTTGAGTTTAAAATGCCTTGCAAATAATTGCCAAAGGCTACTGATTAATGTGGTGAAACAGCCCTTGATTAGCACAATGTGTAAAGTCATTAAACCACCCATCTTCTCCAATCACCATGGTCGATGCCCCTCTCGTGTTCTTAACCACCATGTTGCCTGTAACAAACCTACATGAGATACCACTCAGGTACTGTTCTACCTTCCCAAAACCTTTTTCCTGATGTTTGATGTTCTCGTGCCATATCCAGAAGAGCAGGATTGGCCATGGACGGTTGCTTCAACATTTGCCATGGGATAGTATCATTTCCACACTTGCAACAGAGTAGTTTAGCGGGCTCAGAAGAAAGGGTGAAGCATCCATGGCTCTATTTATGAGGAACAGCTTGGTATTCAGGAAGAACAGACAGAAGGCTCCCCTCACAGCTGGCCACCTCCTTAGCGTCTGTTGTTTGAGGCAGTGACCTAATCTATTGAAGACAGGGCCAGTTTTGGTACTTCTTCTTGAAGGCAGACCAAGTTAAAGGGTGATAAACAATAGCCAAAGACTGTGGTTTTATGGAGCTGTTCTGAAGTGGACTCTTAAGGCTTTCTTTCTCTTTTCTCCCAAAACATTTATCAATCCAATTACCCCGTTCACTCCCAGCAGATTGAGGCTACCCTCCACCCTCACCCTCAAATTTATCTGTTGTGTTATTTGAATGGGGAGGGAGAGAAGATAGCAGAAGACAGGAAATAACCATTTCCTCCAATTTTGCTGAAATAATTAAAATTCAAAAGCTTGGTTTTTGGAAAGGTGCAGGACCAATAGAAAAAAAAGGAAGGGTTTGTGTTCCCATCTGCTTCTGAAATTCCTGGCACAAAGCGGTGGTTTCCTGGGTGGAAGATATCTATATTTCTCTTGGGTGTGAATGCTGCCAGAATGGCAGACCCACTGTGAGTTTGTGTGTGTGTGTGTGTGTGTGTGAGAGAGAGAGAGAGAGAGAGACAGGGGGGGGGAGAGGGAGAGAGAAATTGCAGGATAGTTGTGCAGCATACCAGGCGGTGCCAGAGCCCTGGCATTCTCTCCACATAAGCTTTCTTTGTCATCCTCTTCTGAATCAATGGGAGGAGATGTAAAGAGAGAGACAAAGCCATAGATAAAGAGAACGCACGAAAAAAAAAAAATGTGTATATGTAAATTGGGGAAAGGGATTATTAAATTTCAGAGTTCTCCCTACAGACCAAAGTTTTTTTCCTTTGACCAGAATTTGTTCAGTTAAATAGCCAAATGTGTAGATCTGGGGTTCCAAATGATCCTTGAAAAAGAAAATGCCATATGAATCGGTTCACCCGTCTCCCTGCCCTACTGGACATTTACATTTTTAGAAGATTGTTCCCTCTACACCCCCGCTTTTTTTTTTTTTTTTTTTTGGTTGATGTAAAAGCAAAATGAGAACCATTTTGGTGTAGTGATTAATGCAGCAGACTAGAAACTGGAAGACAATGAGTTCTAGTCCCTCATCATACACAAAGCCAACTGAGTGACTTGGGGCCAGTCATTTTCTCTGAGCCCTAGGAAGGTGGCAATGGAAAACCATTTCCGAAAAGCCTCACCAAGGAAACCGTAGGGGCATGCCAGGCAATCTCTGAGAATCTGACTCGATTGAATGGAATAAAAAAAAAGAGCAAAATGCCTTCAGCATCTCTTTGTTGGAAAGTATACCTCTGAGTCCATCATCTTGTAGGGCAACTACAGCCTCATGCTGTCTCAGGAATTCTGGGAGTTGAAGTCCAAAGATTGTAAATGGGCCATAGTTGCCCACCTTAGTTCTAGAGTAGGGGTGTCAAACTCAATTTCATTGAGGGCTGTATCAGCATTGTGGTTGCCCTTGGGGGGCTTGGTGGGTGTGGCCAGGGTGGGGGCAGTCTACTGGGTGTGGATGGAGTGGGTGTGGCCTACTGGGTGGGCATGGCCAGCTCTATATCATTCGCGTCAAGGGTGCCTGTGGGGGCCTGGGCAGGAGTGGGACAGATCTGAGGGTCTCTGGCCGAAGAGAGTGGGACCAGGGCAAGTGCCAAGGCATGGTCCACTGGAGGAGCCTCACTGTTCCTCTCAAGCCATGCAGAGGGGGGGGCTGGATGGTGGTACGGGCTGCCTGGAGCTCTGGGCAGCAGAGGTCAAATGCCCAGCCCGGCCCTCGAGCACCTGCGGCACCAAGCCCAGTGCCACTTCCCCAAGAGGGTGCCCAGCTGCACTTATCTCCTCCTCAAGGCTGCTGCTGCTGTGCTTGCTCTCCTTAGTCAGGTTGCTCGTGATGGGTACAAGGGCAAAGTCAGAGGGAGGCCCATTCCCTCTCCATGGGAGTAGACCCGGCTTAGCAATAGGATGGGAGACCCCCAGGATAGGCCAGAAGGAGGGGGCAAGGGGATGGTGAAAGGCAGCAGGGCAGGACTAAGGCAGGACTTCCCTCAGACCCTCCCTCTCTTTCTTTCCTTCTTTCCTTCCTTCCTTCTTAAGTACAGAGTGGTGGAAAATGTTTGAGATGAGGGAGGGAGAAAAACAGGCAAGAAATGCAGCTGGGGAGGTGTCACCCATCGTGAGGAATGAAGAAATGCACTATCACCTGGAAGTAGCCAGCACATGGCCCTCATCTACTTCACATATCTGGCTTGGTGGCTCTGGGAGAGGGGATGCCATGAGTAGCGTGAGAGTCAACATTACCTGCACAATGCCGCCCAGCCCCCAGCCTGCCCGGTTTTGGGTAGGCAGCAGGGTGCTTTCCTCACAGCGCCGAGAGGTTGAGCCAGGCAGTGCGAAGCTTGTCGGCTTTGCATCTTGCTACCTGCTGAAATTGGGCAGACTGGGGGCTAGGTAGCATTGCACTTCTCATCAGATTCGCACTACCCAGCTCAGCTCTTGGCGCTGTGAGGAGAGCACCCCGCTGCCTGCCGAAACCCCTCCCCCGGAGCCCATCAAGCCAGGTAGGTGAAGTAGGCAAGGGCCATTTGCTGGCCACTTCCAGGCGATGGTGCATTTCTTCATTCCTCACAAATGGTGATACCTCTCCAGCATGCACAGGGGGCAGGGCTGACGTGGCAGGGACTGGTTCCTTGCTGTTTCCAGACGGCCTTGTGGAGCTAAGACTGAATACGTTTCAGCATAGATGGCCACCACAAAATTGTACAGGGCCAAGGCAGAGGGGGCCGTTCCCTCACTGTTTCCAGGATGGCTTCACGGGCCACATGAAACTACTTTGCGGGCCGCATCTGGCCCCTGGGCCTTGTGTTTGACATGTCTGCCTTAAAGCAACAATCTCCAACCTTTCTGGCTTGGCGGGGATGGGGGAGAGGGGATGGTTCTGTACGAGTGGTGGGCAAGCACGTGTGTAGCTCCATTTGTGCGCATCTCGCTCATCCGCTGCAGATGCAAGTGGAACTGTGCGTGTGCTTGCCTGCCACTTCTGCGGTCTGGGTCTGAACTGGGCCAGGGCCCAGGGGTTGGGGACCTCTGCCTTAAGGAGGAGAAGAACACGAGCAAGAGAGAGGTGATCCCAAGGCTGCAATCCACTGGGAAAGATGTGTGTAAAGAGTCCTTGAAATTAACACATGTTCTCTTCATCCGAAAAAAAAAAAATGACCACATAGTAAGAAACTCAGAACAATATGATTAAGTTTTCTATCTTGGGCACCCAGATAATTTGACTTTGACTTGACTATTTTATATGAATTGTTCAATATCAGCAGAATCTGTGGACTTTTCCAAGGTTCAAAAGTAAAAATAGGCAGACCGCTCCCTTAAAATACCATCAATTTTTTAAAAAAAGGATTTTTGGAAAAGTATTTCCAGCTTTTATTTTAAGTCATGTAGCTCACCTTTGCCTAATCCCACTGGCTCGAGATGCATTTTAACACAACCAATGATTTTCAAAGCTACGATAAAGTCTTTTTTTATATATGGTTATTAAAATAAACATTTATTTATTTTATTCATAAAAATTCAGTCAAATAACATTGAGAATGCCACATTTCAGGTTCAACTTTGATACGTCTCTAATTATATTATTATTATTATTATTATTATTATTATTATTATTATTATTATTATTGAAAAATCTCTCTTAATCATAGTCCTCACTACTTATTTAGTCCCCTGGAAGCTTAATTGACTTTAATGGGGGTGATTCCCTATATATTGACATGTCAGTCTTTGGAATTCAGTCCCATCAACACTGCAGAATTTCAAATTAACTTTCAAATTAAACTTGCCTAACGTTACAGTGTTCCAACTGAGGAACAGTCTGCTGTCCCAATGGAAAGCTCTTTCTTATCAAAAACAGCACATGACTGTACTATGTGGAAGTGCCAAAGGTGAAAGTCATGTTCATGCACAAGTAATCCTTGACTTATGACCAGTTGCTTAATAAACCGTTCAAAGTTATAGTGGATTCCAAAAATGGAACTAATTATCTGGTTTATGAAGTTCTGATGTCCTGCCCCACCCCCTGCGATAAAACGATTGACCAGCAGCCTGCATTGACAGATGTTTGCAACACCTTATGGTCACGTGACTGAGTTTGCGACATTTTTGCTGGAAACCAGCGTTTGCTTCTAGTTTCTGGAGAAACCACCTCACAATGATCTCAAAGGTGATCTTTCAAAAGGCAACTGGACTGTTCCTTCCTTGAGGAAGAAGAACAAAACATTTTGTTTCTCATTTTTATTCCATTTCATCCCACCTCCACTCTCCCACCCCCGATCACAACTGATGAAGTATCTTTTTCCTCAAAGGAAAAAAGAGTCCAGTCACCTTTTGAAAAAGCATCTTTGAGACAACTGTAACCTGGATGGCTGAGAATCTCCACAGACACCTCATAGTCGAAAATGGATTTGCTTAACAACTGTGGCGTTCACTTAACAACCTTAGTGTTCACTTAATGACTACCGCAAAAGAGGTCCGAAAACTGGGTCCAGTCACATGTTGACCTGCTTTACATCCATCATGGATTACGACTGAAATTGTGGACTCATAATTACGGTCATAAGTCGATGATTAACTGTATTTCACTGCCTGTGCAGGAAACACTTTCTAGAAAGCCAAGGCCAGACCCTCCTTTGATCAGAGCACACAGCTGCCACCCAGCCAGCCAGCCACCCATGTACAGCTAACTTCACACAATATTTATTAAACAGAAGTCTTTCCTATTTAAAAAAAAAAATGTAGTCATGGCTTGAATCAGCTCTGCTTGTTCTCTGTTTGGGGCTGTGTAACAGTTGGTGATTCAATCATGGTAAAACAATATAAAATATTTTGAATTCTTCATTTCCCCCCTCCTTCTCTTTCCTTTTTTAGCTCTCAAGATCAAAGTGTTACATCTCTTTCTCTCTTTAATTTTCTTTGCAAAGAAAATGGTTTTTCCTTGGTTGAAATGGATTCTGGGTTTGCTTCCCATGGTGGTCTGATGGATTTTCAATTTCTTTTTAATTGTGGTCCTTGCTTCATAGTCATGCTATCTCTGGGCTTCTAATGTGTTAGGTACCTCGTCCTGGAACACGTCTCAGGAGGTGAACTTTTCGATTACTTGGTGAAGAAAGGCCGTCTGACCCCCAAGGAAGCCAGGAAGTTTTTCCGACAAATTGTCTCAGCTTTGGATTTCTGCCATAGCTATTCTATATGGTGAGCTGACTGTTGTGTTATTATGAGCTGGTTATAATAATCACATTTTGTTCCTGGAGGAAAAGAAAGAAAAACATTTTTCTTTGGGGGTTTATTTTTCTCTATTGTTCTGGGGAGTTTTCTCTCCCCCCACCTTTGTTATTTGTGCTCTATTGATTTTTTTTTATTGTGTCTGTAGTTTTTATGCTACCGGCCACTTTGAATTATCATTGATAAAGAAAATCAATACTTATTATAGTAATTATTGTTCCTTCTCCCATCCCTGGATCCTACTGATAATTGAAATGCCAATTAACTCTTTATTAAAGTACACATTTCCCTAGGTCACCATCTGGTTTCCTCCTTTGATCATAGCTTGATATGTAAAAATTGGGAGTGGTTGCTTTTTCTAACAAAATGTAATATCTAATATATGCAGTGGTTTCGAGACTTCCATAGTTTAAGTCCCATCCAGTTGAAATTCTAAAGACTTCATTAACATATCAATAACATAATAATAACATAATAATAACATAATAATGATGATGATGATGATGATGATGGAAGGGACCTTGGAGGTCATCTAGTCCAACCCCCTGCTCAGGCAGGAAACCCTATACCATTTCGGACAAATGGCTGTCCAGTTTCTTCTTAAAAACTTCCAGTGTTGGAGCATTCACCGCTTCTGGAGGCAGGTTGTTCCACTGTTAATTGTTCTAACTGTCAGGAAGTTTCTCCTTAGTACTAGGTTGCTTCTCTCCTTGATTAGTTTCCATCCGTTGCTTCTTGTCCTGCCTTCAGGCACCTTGGAGAATAGCTTGACTCCCCCTTCTCTGTGGCAGCCCCTGAGATATTGGAACACTACTATCACGTCCTCCCTCGTCCTTCTCTTCATTAAACTAGACATACCCAATTCCAGCAACCGTTCCTTGTATGTTTTAGCCTCCAGTCCCCTGATCATCTTTGCTGCTCTTCTCTGCACTCTTTCTAGAGTCTCAACATCTTTTTTACATCATGGTGCCCAAAACTGGATGCAGTATTCCAAGGGTGGCCTTACCAAGGCATTGTAAAGTGTTATTAACACTTCATGTGATCTTGATTATATCTTGCAGCCTAGCACTGTGTTGGCTTTTTGGGCAGCTGCAGCACACTGCTGGCTCATATTTAAGTGATTGTCCACTAGGACTCTGAGATCCCTCTCACAGTTACTACTATTGAGCAAGGTACCCTAATACTAAACCTGCGCATTTGGTTTTTCTTGCCTAAATGTAGAACCTTACTTTTTTCACCATTGAATTTCATTTTGTTAGATAGTTAGATAGATACTTTTCGTACATCCCATTCATGACTTCTTGTCAGGCTCCTGGGAACCAAGAATGACAGATGGAGTTACTTCTGAGTAGTTTCCTTTATTGTTCCTTACTTATAGGCAGAGGTCTTGCCATATTAAAGCGACTATTTGCATCACTATAGATATACTCTGGGAATTGCTAGGGAGGAATCTTCTTAACTCTCTTCCTTGCTACCAAACTCATCATGTATCCCTCTGGAATATAGCCCCTCCCTCCTGGGAATCCAGACTACATTCTACTACACTTCTAAATCCCATCTGTGGAGTTTGTGCCATTGGCTGAGAATCACTGTTGTGCTTGCAGATGCACACCAAGCTTCATTTCAAGCATAGGAACAAGAACCAGTAAATAAGAAGTTCTCTTAGACCATCTGTACTCACATCATCTGGCATGTTCTGCATCTGTTTGTTGCTGATAAGCTATCAATCAAATCATGGAGAACATGAAATGCCATCTTCTTGATGGCCCCACAGTTCTATATTCCCATCCTGGTTGAATAAATCTTTGGAAAGAATATTAGCATACAACTCATGAGAGACAAAAGTTTTCCAAACCAATAAATTTAGTAAAATCACAGTTCTAGTTTGCAGCTTCATTGGGAAGGAAGAATAAATGAGAAGTTGAAATGAGCTAACTGGGCACTCTTGGGATTAATATTTTAAGAAGTTGTTAATCCAAATAAATCAGACTGCACTGCTTGTTCTATCCATAGAGAATCCTGTTGACTTTTAATGATCCCCCCCCCCCAAATTAGCAAGGGAATCTAGTGAGATACACTGATGTATCAAGGGTATGTTGCCAAGCGAACAGTCTTTGACTGTGTTCATATGACATTCTAATACAGAGTTACCAAATTTGAGTTGCAAAACTCACGACCACCACGCTTTCTGCTATTTAATATTGTTTATATCATAATATAAACCTAAATCTGGTAGCCCTACCCAAACTCATGCTTTTTTTCCCCATGGTTTCCTAAATTTACCAAATCTTATTGGATCATGTGACATAATAGACCATTAACATAAATTATAATACAGATTCACATGACGCATTAGGATAAAGTGAGTTCGTTAGTCATGCATTTTTATGCAAACAATGTCTTATTCCGCTGGGTTCAAATAATGCTAAAGAACATGAGAATGGTTGAGGTCCTTGAGTCTCAATAGATTTCATAATTGTGGAGCCACAAGTCATACAATATTCAGTAGAGCACTTGCATACCACTTAAGCAAACAAAAAAACCTCTTAATCTGTACTTCGGCAGTGTTTAAAGTGGGGGGGGAGTATTTAATACTGATCTAGTATCCCCCCACTGGGTTGAGAGCTATTCATATAATAACTTCAAGGGATTTAGTGGTACAAGTTCATGCATGTTTGTATATGTGCATGCCCATGTGCTCTGCCACTGATTAATCTCCCTGGGTTTTATTTGGACACCTTCAGCCACCGAGACTTGAAACCTGAGAATTTATTGCTGGATGAGAAGAACAACATTCGGATTGCAGATTTCGGCATGGCCTCCCTGCAGGTCGGAGATAGCCTGCTGGAAACAAGTTGTGGGTGAGCCATCCTCAAAACCGAGTCTTGCTGGTCTGTGATGCTGAGAGAGGTGGGAGGAAGTCAGCCACATGGCTCCTTGCATGAGTTGATTCACACATTATTGCGTGAATACCAATGTGTTCAATATAGTGGACATGTAAAAAATGAAATGGGAAGGAGATATATGTCCGGGAACCTACGTAAGTTGTTCCTTGACTTTAGATGGAAATATGTCTTGCTGTCACATGTTATTATTATTGTCATTGAAATGTAAATGAATCAGAAATATCTGCTGTTACTTTATATTTGAAATGTAAATTGCTCCTTTGCTTGCAAGTAGAGAGGAAAATTCATCAAAGATCTGCTATAGGCAGGACAGAAACAGTTTTCCATCAGTGAAAATATAAATCTTATCTTCTTGGATGGGGGAAATCTTTACAGAACACCCTCCCATTTAACTCCAAATTTATGGTCTTATTAACATACGCAGGAGATGAGATTTAGCCAACAGATGTAGCCAATTGCACTAACCATGGCTCCTTTGTGCCAGTGATGGCACTTTTTTCTTAAAACAAATGACATCTGTTGAGGAAGTTGATTCCATAGTGCCAGAATCCCTACCAAGATTTTCCCTCTCCCTCACAGCTATAATTTCCTTTTAAAAAGCCATTCCCACAATTCCTAATTGTGTAAATGTCAAGTTTAGCTTGGTCTTCAGATTTCTGTGTTAAAAGATAGGAATTTCATTTGATGGCTGCCTTTGACCTCAAAGAAAGGACATATTTGTCTTTAGTGGGAAGAAAGAAAAGATTCCGCCATTTCTAGAGATGTGGGGAAGTTGCTAAAGAAGCCACTTGTGCTAGATATGGAATGGCCTAGAGCGGTCTTCTTCGGACCACATGGGATTGACTTCAGTTCCCAGAATTCCCACCTAGCAGGATCATTGGCCATTCCCGAATTGACTCGAGGATGCCAAGGAAGGTTTGTCTTGGCACCTGAAACCCACCAAACATCTAACAGTAAAGGATTTCCACAACCCATCCTAGATTGGGGAGGGTGGGTATATCACACAGGCTTCTCTTCACATGCTTGTTGAACCCATGGCCCTATGGGTTAGCTTTCTTTGGCGTTTCACTCTTCCTATCTCTCTGTCTTTCTCTTTCTTTTCTGCCCCCAATGCTGGGCTGCAGTTCTCCTCACTATGCATGTCCAGAGGTGATCAAGGTAAGGATTCAGGCCTAGTGCCCTCCCCTTATCGTTTTTGGTATCTGATTCCCCCCCCTCCCCCCTTGTCCAATGGATCAGGGCAAGGAGCCCCTCAAAATCTGCTTTATCCTCCCTCAGTGGGCCCCTTAGTTGGAACAATTTGCTTCAAGAATACATTCAATAGGAAAGATAGTTGCAAGAGAAATTATGGGAAGCAGCAGTTAGAGGGAGTAAGGGCAAGTTATGATATATGATATGATATGAGATATACATATCACGAAAGGGTAACTTGTGGCCATCCATCCAGAACTACAACTCCCAGTATCCATCCTTCACCATTAGGACTGCTGGGAATTTTAAGTTAAAAAGATCTGGAGGGTTCCCCAGATTGTAAAGATGAACATACCTAAGTTTCACAGCATGACACAATATTTCAGACAACTCAAACAAATATTTTTAATAATTTAAATAACATATATTTGTTTGAATCGCAATGCAGAACAAACATAGGTAGAAAATAAATCTTTTTTAAAGTAATACAGGTAGCCCTTGAATTGTGACCATAATTGAGCCTGGAATTAGGGTCATAAGCCCACACCAGCCATTAAGCAGGTCACTGTATGATCATGCCTGGTTTTACAATTTTTCCGGTGGTTGTTAAGTGAATACATAGTCCACAATGGGCCTTTTTTGTTCAAACCAGAAGTAAACACCTCTTTCCGACAGAAAACTATTGTAAATTTCTGTTATGTGACAGTGGGACTCTGCAAATGGCTTTAAATGTAAGTTGCCAATTGCCCAAAATGCGATCACATGACTGCAGGGGGTGGTGACTGCCAGAACTTTGAATCCATCAAAAATTCAACCCGTCATAAATCAAGGACTACCTGTAATTGAATTCTTTTAATTATTCTAATGAGCTTGTACATATATATATACTTTTATGCACCATGTATATATATAATTTTAATCTAGACTCATCAAAAAATTTGGCCCAGAAGATTTATATTGCTTTCCTTCTCCCAGCTAGTAAGAATATTTTGAAGTTAAGAGGAAAGAAGCTCTATCCATTCTCAAGAACTTTGCTGGGGATCTCAATTCTCGGTGTTCGAGTTTGTGTGACTGTGTATGTTTGGGCTGAAATTTAGATTCTGCTGGGCAAGGGCACTATCCCAATTTAAAAAAAAAATACTGTAAAAGCCAATCACAGGAAGTCGGAGGAAAAGAAATCTCCAGATCCACATTAGAACACATGGATTTCCAAGGAATGTCAACAAAATATATGGTGATCAGATTTTGTAAACTCTCCTCAGTCAGAAAGTAAACATTCCCCTGAGCCTCTGGAGGTCTCTTCTCCTTATCTGTCTTCCCAAGTGGGGCGCAGTGAAGAACAACTATCATTTTAGTTTTTTTAAAAAAATTAATTGCTATAACCAGTAATAGTTATCCCTCTTTGCAGTCGCTCTTAATTCTTGGAAAGAATCCCCCACCCTCACTTCTCTTATTTTTCATTGTTTCCTGAAATCTTCTCCCTTACCTCCCCAAACCAATTATCAAGCTCCCAATCTCTGCTTCTTGCTCTTTAGGGGGAAAAGTATGATGGACGTCGCGCAGACATGTGGAGTTGTGGTGTCATCCTCTTCGCCCTCCTGGTGGTAAGCTTGTCCCAAGAATTTTTGTTACTCCTGGCAGGGAGCATTTAACACCACCACCCCCATTTAGTTCTACTGTCTTCTGCCCAAGGGATCCATTTAGGCCAGGGGCGGGGAACTGTGGCCCTTTTATGACTTATGGACATCAACTCCCAGAATTCCTGAGCCAGCCACAAAGGGGGGCCATAATTCCCCTCCTCTGATTTAGACTAACATTTTTATATTTCATAAACAAACATTGAAATGCAAACTTGCATAAGGGGGGGAGACAAATAATAGGACAAGTTAAAAAATATCCTCCCCTAATTACCACAAATATAAAACAAAAGTTTCCTCCAACTTTTTCAGTACAAAGATAATAATACAACAACCTTTCTCTGCTTTAAATTATTCAATATTTAAATTATCTTAAAGTGCTAACAGTCAACATTCTAGAAAACCAATATTCATATTATATATTCTTCTCCTAATTTTAAACTAACTGTGAGAGGGATCTAGAAGTCCAAATGGACAATCACTTAAGTATGAACCAGCAGTGTGCTGCAGCTGCCAAAAAAACCAGTGCAGTCCTTGGCTGCATCCACTGAGGGATAGTATCAAGGTCATGTGAAGTATTAATATTGCATATACTACACTGATAAGGCCATACTTGGAATATCGCATCCAGTTTTGATTACCATGATACAAAAAAGATGTTGAAACTCTACAAAGAGTGTAGAGAAGAGCAACAAAGATGATTAAGGGACTGGAGGCTAAAACATACGATGAATGGTTGCAGGAACTGGTTATGTCTGGTCTAACAAAGATGAGGACGAGGAGTGACTTGATAGCAGTCTTCCAATATTTGAGGGGCTGTCAAGTATTGAGAGAAGAGGGGGTTGACCTATTCTCTAAAACTCTTGAGGGAAGGACAAGAAGTATAGGATGGAAACTTATCAAAGAGAGATCCAAGCTAGAACTAAAGAGAAATTTCCTGACAGTGGAAATGGCTTGCCTCCAGAAGTTGTGGGTGCTCCATCACCAGCGATTTCTAAGAAGAGACTGGACAGCCATTTGTCTGGAATGGTATAGGCCATGGTCTCCTGCTTGAGCAGGGGGTTGGACTAGAAGACCTCCAAGGTCCTTTCCAACTCTGAATAATCATATGTTTTTAATTAACCACAATATTTCTCTAGTCAAATCTGATTTAATCCTCAAATTCCAAAGTTGATTTTTCTCTTTATCGTGTAAGAAATCCCAACTGTGGTCTCCAAAACGTAAGGCAAGGGCAACCTGTTTGACTCCTGAGGCAAGATGTCCAACTGTATGCATTATTTTTATTAACTGGTTGAGGCAAACCAAATCAATTACCTGAGACTGGATGATCTCTAATACTGTGGCAGTATGTTGTCACTAAGAATATATATGCTATTTCAGGCTGCCATAGAAAATCACAAGAGAGATAATACTGGTACTTCTTGACTTACCAGTTCATTTTGTGACCATTCAAAGTTATGGCACTGAAAAAAGTGACTTGTGACCATTTTTCACACTTATGACCGCTGCAGCATCCCCATGGTGGCGGGATCAAAGTTCAGGTGCTTGTCAACTGACTCATAGTTATGACCGTTGCAGTGTCCCAGGGTCATGTAATCACCTTTTGCGATCTTTTGGCAAGCAAAGTCAATGGGGAAGCCGGATTTACTTAGCAACCATGTTACCAGTTTAACAACCACAGTGATTCAGTTAACAATTGTGGCAAGAAAGGTCATAAAATGGGGCAAAATTCACTTATCAAGTGTCTTGCTAAGCAACATAAATTTTGGGCTCCGTTGTGGTGGTAAGTCGAGGACAACCTGCCATAGTTACAACTTTTATTATTATTATTATTATTTATTAGATTTATAAATTGGCCAATTCCCAATGATTCTGATTGTTATCCTGAGAATATTTGATACGAGGGAGGTGGCAATAAAAGGAAGAAAGATTAATGAAGGAAATGAGGGCAAAAGGACCAATGTTACACACCTTCATGTTTAAACAGTGTTTTGTCTTTTCCAGGTAGTCCTTGACTTATGACCAAGACAAGGCAGTTGTTAAGTGAGCCGTGCCTGTTTTGATGACCATTTTTTGCCATGGCTGTGAAGCAAATCACTGCAGTTATTAAGTGAATCACATGGTCATTAAGTAAATTTGGTTCCCCCCACCCCCCATGACTTTGCTTGTAAAAGCCAGCTGGGAAGGTCTCAATGCTGCACCCATTGTAAATACAGACCAGTCGCAAAATGCCTGAATTTTGATTACACAACCACGGTTGTAACGTCAAACAAATTGTTGTACATCAGGGACTACCTTGTGATGTTAACCCAAGGAATACCTGCAAAACCGTAAATCTGAAGGAGCTTCTGTGGTGTCTTCATTTCTTTCACCCTTTTCTCCTGCAGGGGGCGCTACCCTTTGATGATGACAACCTACGGCAGCTGTTGGAAAAAGTGAAACGTGGGATTTTTCACATGCCCCATTTCATTCCGCCAGACTGTCAGAATCTTCTGCGGGGCATGATTGAGGTGGAGCCAGAGAAACGTCTCAGTGTGAGTCATCCTATCGTTCCCAAGACTGGAGGAATGGAGGAAGGAGCATGCTTGGATGCTGGGGTGGAAAAAGGATGGAGGGTCCTGGATAGCACCATTTCAGATTGCAAGAGGAATTGCCCCCTGGGGAGGGGTCACTCTTGAATATAAAGAATGATAGTGGCTGTCATAAATTTATATGAAACAGTGAAAATGGAATGGAATGGAATAGAATAGAATAGAATAGAATAGAATAGAATAGAATAGAATAGAATAGAATAGAATAGAATAGAATAGAATAGAATAGAATATTCTTTATTGGCCAAGTGTGATTGAATACACAAGGAATTTGAGAAGATTTGGATTAGAATTCTTCCCTGATAGGGTCGATTTTCAGACGATGTGGTTGGATCGAAATTTAATTAGGATTTCATTGAAACAATTACTTGTAGGTAATATTGTTCTAGAACAGATGTCCTCAACCTTTCTAGGTTGGCAGCCCAGAGGGAAAGGAAGGGGCAGGTATGGGGCCGCCTGCACGCGTGCAACGCAAACAGGGGTGGAGCGAGTGCATGCATGACATTGGAGCGGGGCTAGTGCCCACAAAATGCCGAAGGCGGGGCTAGTATCTGCACGACACTAGGGGTGGGGCTAGCACCCATGAGGCACTCGAGGCGGGGCTACCATCCACACGAATCTTGGGGCGGCGCAAGCGCCCATGCAACACTAGCACCCACACGGCATTCACAGCACTGCTAACGCAAGTGGTGGTGGGGAGTGCGTGCACACATGTGTGAGTACTGGCCAGCCATTCATGTGGCCCGGTGGCCAACAGGCCCCGGCCGGGTAGTGGGCCAAGGCCCACAGGTTGGGGACCCCTAAACTAGAACAACCTCTCGTAATGGAAAAATTATAATTTGGTGGCATCTTTTGGAAAGGCCAAAATAGATTTTTAAGGTGCCGTCTCCAAGATGAGCAATTCTGCCCCACAGGTTATATTTCTGCCCCTGGCTTTTGAAAGCAAATCTATTTTAAGATTCAGTTAATGTTTATGTTTATTTTATATACTGAATGTCTGAAGATATTCTTAATACATGTTTTAATGATGAGTGATAGCAATGAATAGGGCAGTCATAGTTTGTAACTTTTTTAAAATTAATTTTTGGGGAAAGGACCCTAACGTTGGTTTATTTTTCTCCATGCGGTGGCTTTAGCTGGAACAGATTCAGAAACACCCGTGGTTCTTGTGAGTATTTCCAGATTGTATTCGATTTCCAGCTGATTCTCTTTTTCCCTTCTTTGAGGAGCTCTCAGTATTGATCAAGAGCCCAGTATTTTCTGTCTTCACCAATCAGAGGTGAGGGCAGGTCTCGTAGAGGAAACCAGGGCATGAGCAGAGTTCAGAAATTCCAATGTTCCACTCTACCCTCTCATCGTTGTCTAGAAAGGGGTGAGCCCCACAGTGGCCCTTCAGAAGTCAACAGCCTCAGCTAGCATGATCAACAGAGAGGAATATCCAGAGCTCTTGTTTACTAGAAAATGTTATCTTTGTTTTTTGAGGTTCCATCTTAAACTGTTCTTTCAATTTAGCTTTCTATCTAAGAGAACAAAAAGCTTTAATAAACCTAAAAGTGAATACAAGTAGTCCTTGACTTACAACCATTTATTCAGTGACAGTTCAAAGACACAGTGGCACTGAAAAAAATGACTTGACCAGTTCTCACATTTACAATTGTTGCAGCTCTCCACAGTCACACAAACAAAATTTGGGCACTTGGCAACCAGCATGCATATTTACAAGGGTTGCAGTGTCTCAGGATCCTGGGATTGTCATTTGCAACTTCCTAGGGAGCTTCTGACAAGCAGAGTCAGTGGAGGGAAGCCAGGTTCACTTAACAACCTCATGATTCGCTTAAATGCAATGATTCCCTTAAGAACTGTGACAAAAAGGATCGTAAAATGGGGCACTACTCACTTAACAACTGTCTTGTTAGCAATAGAAATTTGGGCCCCCTCTGCTGTCATAGGTCGGTGATGGCGAACCTATGGCATGCGTGTCAGAAGCGGCACTTGGAGCCCTCTCTGTGGGCACATGCGCCATGCCCCGGAGATGGCAACTATCCAACCAGCCGTCCGCTAACTCGCCGAGGTCCCACGTGGCCGGATGCATGCCAGCACGGCTGGTTTTCCTCCCCCCTGTCCCATCCTTCCTGGCCTCGCACACTCTCCTTTTTCCAGGCACGACCCACTGCATCGCCTCCTCAGTTGTCAGCCGTCTGTCCAGCTCAGAGGTGGCTTCTCTGAACTTCTGGTGGCAGGCTGCGAAGCCCTAGAGTGCGCCAGTCGAGGGGCCAGCAGGCTGTGGATACTGACAGACGCTGTTGGCCCTCGTGCGCTCGCTGGCCTCTGTGTGTGGGAGCCAATGGTGTCAGGCAGCAGCCGCCCCGGCCCCTGCCTCGCCTTGCCCTGCGACAATGGCACCCCAGCCCTACCTCGTCTTGCCTTGCCTCACCCCGCAGGACGAGCCTCCTGCCCACTGCCCCACCTGCCAGAGACCCCCTGGATCTCACCGAAGCATCCCTTCCCATGAGTAACATTGAGGTGACCACACCCACCTTGGCCACATCCACCCAGTCTGCCATGACCACCACAGCCCCGCCCACCCAACGGGCCACACCCACCTGGCACCCGATGATAAATAAGTAGGTTTTGGGTTGCAGTTTCGGCACTTGGTCTCTAAAAGGTTTGCCATCACTGTCATAGGCCAAGGACTACCTACAGTTACTGTATATTTATTTATATTTATATTTATTTATTTGTGAGCCCTAACAATTCTAAAACATTACTATAGAGTTTAAAAAATGGGTTTTCAATAGATCATGTGTTCACGAAAAGTCTACTAAACAATATATAGACTGTTATGATCTTATATAGTTATTAACCATTGTAAAAAAAACATACCAAAGGTGCAGACATGGTCCCACAATCACAATCTTTGGCAACTTTGCTGTGCTGCATAGATGTTACTCAATTTTTCCATTAAAACATATCTCTTGGGAAGAATGTAATTCAGGAGCAGGGCTTCTGATTCCAGTCTCTTACATCAGGAGTCTGCAACCTTGACAACTTTAAAACTTGTGGACTTCAGCTCCTAGAATTCCTCAGCCAGCTATGCTTGCATGTCTTACATGACCAGTTAAGCCTCAAACCCAGAAGAGTTAAAACAATTAATGCTTAAAATAGTTGAAGATTTCTTATGTTGCTGCTACTTCTGTATGCAGATTTTTACAGAAAAGCAAGTTACAAATATTGGGGCTAAATCGGTAAACAAAACCTATTTACATCTATTTATTAAACAAATTTATATAGCTGCCCAATTCACACCCAGTGACTTTGGGCAGTGTGCACAACATTTAAAATTCTCAATTTAACCCCATCCTGTGGCAAAAATAGAATCAAACAAGCTACTTGATTGCCTCCAAATAATAGAACTATGTCTTCAAGGCCTTGTAGAAAAGAAACAAGGTGGGGTCAATCCTATCTCTGAGGAAATAATGTTCCAAAGGGAGGAAGCCACCACAGGAAATGCCCTTTTCCTAGGTCCCATCAGTGGACTTCCTTAATAGTTGGAACCCATAACATGCCCTGCCTTTCTGCTCTGGTGGGTTGGTTAGTGGTAAGACTGGGTAGATGGCAAAGATATATCTTATTTCCAAATCTTTATGAACTTTATGTTGAGAAATCTACCAATTTATAGAATCAAGAGCACATGAAGTGTTAATACCACTTTACAATGCCTTGGTAAGGCCACACTTGGAATACTGCATCCAGTTTTGGTCACCACGATGTAAAAAAGATGCTGAGACTCTAAAAAGAGTACAGAGAAGAGCAACAAAGGTGATTAGGGGACTGGAGGCTAAAACATATAAGGAACAGCTGCTGGAATTGGGTATGTCTAGTTTAATGAAGAGAAGGACGAGGGGGGACATGATAGCAGTGTTCCAATATCTCAAGGGCTGCCACAAAGAAGAGGGAGTCAAGCTATTTTCCAAAGTGCCTGAAGGCAAGACAAGAAGCAACGGGGGGGGGGGGGAACTAAGCAAGGAGAGAAGCAACCTAGAACTAAGGAGAAACTTCCTGACTATTAGAACAATTAACCAGTGGAACAACCGAGGTGGCGCAGCAGTTAGAGTGCAGTACTGCAGGCCACTTTAGCTGACTGTGTTCACAGATCAGCGGTTCAAATCTCACCGGCTCAAGGTTGACTCAGCCTTCCATCCTTCTGGGGTAGGTAAAATGAGGACCCAGATTGTTGAGGGCAATGTGTGTGTGTGTGTGTGTAATATATATATATATATATATATATATATATATATATATATATATATATACACATACATACATACATACATTGCTTACTGGTGTACACTGCTTAGAGAGTGCTTGCACTTAAAGCGGTATATAAGTCTCATAAATTAATAAATAAATAAATAAATAAACCTGCCTCCAGAAGCAGTGAATTCTCCAACACTGGAAGTTTTCAAGAACAGACTGGACAACCATTTGTTTGAAATGGTATAGAGTTTCCTGCCTGAGCAGAGGGTTGGACTAGATGACCTCCAAGATCCCTTCCAACTTTACTACACTACTACTACTACCACTACTACTACTACTACTACTACTACTACTACTACTACTACTATTATTATTATTATTATTATTATTAACACTGTTTCCACTTCCACTGTGAACCCCAGAAAACAAGTCATTTTTGATAATGGCTTTTGCCAAAGGTCTTCATTCTCTTATCCCATTCCTCAAGATTTTAACGGGGCAGCATATTCCTTCATCTGATTTACACACTACTTCTTCTTCCAGAGGAGGGAAGAATGAACCGGAACCAGAACAACCGATTCCTCGGAAGGTAGCAATCCAAAGGATTCAGTCAGTCAGTGAGCTGGACCCTGATGTGTTGGATAGCATGCATTCGTTGGGCTGTTTCCGTGATAAGAACAAGCTAAAGCAAGAGCTGCAGAACGAAGGGTGAGGACCTGTTACCTTAAATTTTGCTCCTTGTGCTGAAGAGATGCATTGTTCTAAGTCCTTTTTTGTGGCATTTTAAAAAGGTGATTTGAACTCTTATTGGAGGAACTCTGCTTCTGTAAAGAAGCTGGGATAATCATCTCACCATTGTAGTTCCCATGATTGAAAAAACTTGCAGAGTGCAATTCAAATTGCATGTGTTATAAGGTGTCTGAAGGTGTCTGTTGAGGGAGGAAATAGAATTGAGGTTTGGTTTGTGATAGAAATAGAAATAGAAAAGGTGGGAAAGATGGGAGAAGAGGCTAGTTAGGAAACGTGCAAATAGTTGGGGGAGAAAAAAACGGACTATCTTTTCTATAGACAGGCAATAAACCCATTTTTATTCTAAGCATTCGCCCTCATTTTTCCGATCTCCATTTCAGAGAAAATCAGGAGAAAATGATTTATTACCTTCTACTTGACCGCAAAGAGAGATATCCCAGCTGTGAGGACGAGGACCTGCCTCCACGCAATGATGTTGGTGAGATTTTGGGGAAACCTTTCTCCAAGCATTTCATCAGGGCCAGAAAAAGAGCGGAGCAGTGGTGGTGATGACTGCTGATCACTCAAGACAGTGTTTCTCAACCCTGGCCACTTCAAGACAGGTGGACTTCAACTTCCAGAATTCCCCAGCCAACATGGTTGACTGAGGAATTCTGGGAGTTGAAGTCTACCTGTCTTCACGTGGCCAAGGTTGAGAAACACTGAAAGGGATGGCAAGCATTTCTAAGGTTCTTCTTCCCTCAATATTTCATCCGACTGATATGGAGGAAACAAGAAAGATGAGACCAGCAAGTAAATACATGTCAACATACCTCTGGCTAAAGCTCTGCTGTTTGTAGACGTCTTCTGCCCCTATAAAGGTAATCTTTGATTTACAACCATTTGTTTAGTGACTGTTCAAAGCTACAGTAGCATTGAAAAAAGTGACTTAAAACCCTGTCTGTCAGACTGGCCCCCAACTTGCTCCCTAAGAAAGAATGACCCTTGACTACATAGGTGTGAAAGGTACTTTTACTAGAGGTGTTTTTTTTTTATAATAATTTTTTATTTTTTATTTTTCCAAACTCTCCCCCATACATATACCATGATATTTATCAGATGTTAACATACATTTTTTTTACATTCATATATAAGATGCTTTTAATAAAATGAAATAAATACATACACATGACTTTTGGTGTTGCTCGCCCATTTCCTCTTTCACTGTATCCATACTCCTTCTTCTCTACCTTCTTTCTCCCTTTCTTCTCTTCCCTACTTCCCTCTTCTTCCTCTCCTCTTCTCTTTCCTTCTCCCCACTTCTCCTCTTTTCCTCCAACCTTCCTACTTCCTTCTCCCCTCCTTTACTCTTTTCTCTCTCCTCTCCTTTCTTCCCTCTCATCCCTCTTCAGATACAATTCAGGGGTAATGTCTGAGCAACTCCTCTCTCCAAACCTTCTCGATATATACTTCTATAAATATTTATACAACCTCCAGTTATTCAATACTGTGTCGCCTGGGTCTCCCTCCCTATCTGCTCCTTCTTCTTCCATCTAAATCAGTGGTTCTTAACCTGTGGGTTGGGACCCCATTTGGGGTCGAACGACGATTTCATGGGGGTCGCCAAACAATGCAGTCCGCCATTTTTTTCCCCTTTTCCTTAGCTGTGCTACTCCCTTTTATTCTATTGGCTTTTGAAAGCCAATAGAATAGACTCTCTTGAATAGAGTCTAATTCTATTGGCTTTCAAAAGCCAATAGGAATTGTCCAGGCTGTCTCTGCCCTGCTGAGCCCGCCAAAAGTCCCATTCTGCAAACGGTGCTGCAAGTTGTCTGCAGCGAAGGTGAGCTGTCTGGAAGTTTCCACCCCTCCCTGCTGAGCAACTACTAAAAATGTAAGTAAAAGAAGGCCAGGGGTGGGAGGTGGGAGGCCGGCGGGTGCAGGGAGGGTTGCTGGTGCGCGTGGGGCCCGGCGGGTGCCTTACCTCCCTTGGGCTGGGCCAGCTGGTGGCCCAGCCGGTGGTCGGCCTGCGCCATCTCTGCCGCTTGCCAGCTATGCCTTGGCCGGCGCAGGGGGCGGCACCACGCATGCACGGCGCTCCCGGGCAGGGAAAGTCCTCGACTTACGACCGGTTGGGTAGTCCTCGACTTATGACCGGTTGGGTAGTCTTCGACTTACGACCGGTTGGGGGTCGCGGCATTAAAAAGGTTGAGAACCACTGATCTAAATTGATGTTAACTAACTTTTACTAGAGGTCTTGAGTGCAGGGTGAGTGAGGCGAGCTCTGAAGAAAAATGTCCTGAAAATCATATCTTGAAAGCAATCCCCAGTGTCCAAAGCCGTCCCCCCTGGGAGAGCAGTTCAATCAGGTCTTGTTCCATTTTTTTGGGAATGAGGTGCCTTCGGGTGCCACAGCACATTCCTTTCCCAGGGCTGGTGTTCTTGAAGGCAGGAAAGATGACTTGGTTTAGCACCTTTGGTTCCTGTCAGTGTCCATACTCCCCAGTTTCCCACAAGATTCTTTCACACCTGCAGCACTCTTCCCCTCCCAGCTGCCCCCCTTCCCCCTGGTTATGGCAGTCGCTAACGAGCTTCGAAGAAGACGAAGATAGGCAGCTGACACGGTCCTTGCACTTAAAATTGTTGCAGCATCCCCCGAGTCATGTGATCAAAATTCAGACTCTTGGCAAACCTGCATGTGTTTTCAACAGTGGCCCTGTGCTGGGGTCATGTGATTACCATTTGTGAACACGGATTCAGTTAGCATGTTTGAAATGGGTAGATTTAATTTGGATTTTGAATCAATTAGGAGAAGCTCCCCCTGTGCCCGTGCAACAGCATCTAGATTGATTCACAGGCACAGATAAAATCACCTTGAACTCAGTCTCCAAATTCAACATTTCCAGTCTCTTAGTATCTCATCCTCATTCCCAAATTCTCTTCTCTTGCTCTTTCAAAACAACGGTAGTACATCCATGGCTGGATAAATGGGTGGGCCGTTTAGAGCTAGCTCCCTCTCCTGTGGCACACTGGGAAGTGTGTGAGCGTGAACCAAACAGGCGGCCAAATTACAGGTAGTCCTTGACTTACAACCACAATTGAGCCCAGAATTTATGTTGCTAAGTGAGAAGTTTGTTAGGTGAGTTTTGCCCAATTTTACGATTTTCCTTACCACATTTGTTCAGTGAATTCCTGCATTTGTTAAGTTAGTAATGTGGTTGTTAAGTGACTCTGGCTCCCCCATTGACTTTGTTATCAGAAGGTCACAAAAGATAATTGTATGACTCCAGGACGCCGCAACCGTCATAAAATATGAACCAGTTGTCAAGCATCCGAATGTAAATCATGTGACCATGGAGATGCTGCAGCAGACACAGGTGTGAAAAATGGTGATAAGTCACTTTTTCAGTGCTATTGTAACTTTGAATGGTCACTAAATGAACAGTTGGAAGTCAAAGACTACCTGTACAACTCTGCCTTAGCATTGTAGTCTCCTGTCTTAACATAATATCACCATATGCTAAATAAATAGATATACATACAAGCAACAGTCATAAATCATAAGATACAATCATAAATTGAGAGAAGAGAGAGAGAGAGAGAGAGAGAAAGAGGGGAACATAACTAAGTCAGAATATCAGCAAATAGCCCGAGCCTGCAAAGATGAAGTGAAGAAAGCCAAGGCTCAAAATGAACTGAGGCTTGCGACCAAAGTCAAAAATAACAAAAAAAGCTTCTTTCAACATGTAAAAAACAAGAAAAAAGTGAAGGAAATGATTGGTCCATTAGTGGGTGGAAGTGGCAAGAAGGTGACAAGCAACAGGGAGAAAGCAGAACTATTTAACTCATTTTTTGCATCTGTCTTTACACAAAGGGAAAAAACAGACCAACCTATCAAAAATAGTGCCACAAAAAACAAAACAGAAACACAAGTTAAGATAGGCAAGAAAATCGTTAGTGAGCACCTGTCCAGCCTAGATGAGTTCAAATCGCCAGGACCAGACGGATTACACCCCAGAGTTCTCAAGGAACTGGCAGATGTGATATCGGAGCCACTGAACTATATTTTTCAAAGATCCTGGAACACAGGGGAACTACCAGAGGACTGGAAAAGAGCTGATGTAGTTCCCATCCTCAAAAAAGGAAAAAAAATGGATCCAGGAAATTACAGACCTATCAGCCTGACCTCAATACCTGGGAAGATCCTGGAAAAGATAATCAAACAACGAATCAACGAACACCTAGAGGCAAACAAAGTCATTACTAAAAGCCAACATGGGTTTGTCAAAAATAGATCATGCCAGACAAATCTTATTGCATTCTTTGACCAAGTGACAAAATTAGTGGATCAGAGGAATGCTGTGGACATAATTTACTTGGACTTCAGTAAGGCATTTGATAAAGTAGATCACAACCTACTACTTGACAAGATAGAAAAATGTGGGGTAGACAGAACCACCACCAGATGGATCCGTAGCTGGCTGACCGGCCGTACTCAGCGAGTGGTCCTCAATGGAACTGCATCTCTATGGAGGGAAGTGTGTAGTGGGGTGCCCCAGGGCTCTGTTCTGGGCCCAGTACTCTTCAACATCTTCATCAACGATTTGGATGAAGGGATAGATGGGGAACTCATCAAATTTGCAGACGACACCAAGCTGGCAGGAATAGCCAACACTCCAGAAGACAGGCTTCAGATACAGAAGGATCTGGACAGACTTGAACACTGGGCACTAACTAACAAAATGAAATTCAATGGTGAAAAAAGCAAGGTTCTACATTTAGGCAAGAAAAACCAAATGCACAAGTACAGCATAGGTGGCACCATGCTCAATAGTAGTAACTGTGAGAGGGACCTCGGAGTCCTAGTAGACAATCACCTAAATATGAGCCAGCAGTGTGCTGCAGCTGCCAAAAAGGCCAACACAGTGCTAGGCTGCATTAACAGAGGGATAGAATCAAGATCACGTGAAGTATTAATACCACTCTTCAATGCCTTGGTAAGGCCACACTTGGAATACTGCATCCAGTTTTGGTCACCACGATGTAAAAAAGATGTTGAGACTCTAGAAAGAGTACAGAGAAGAGCAACAAAGATGATTAGGGGACTGGAGGCTAAAACATATAAGGAACGGTTGCGAGAATTGGGTATGTCTAGTTTAACGAAGAGAAGGACAAGGGGGGACATGATAGCAGTATTCCAATATCTCAGGGGCTGCCATAAAGAAGAGGGAATTAAGCTATTTTCCAAAGCACCTGAAGGCAGGACAAGAAGCAACGGGTGGAAACTAATCAAGGAGAGAAGCAACCTAGAACTAAGGAGAAACTTCCTGACAGTGAGAACAATTAATCAGTGGAACAGCCTGCCTCCAGAAGCAGTAAATGCTCCAACACTGGAAGTTTTTAAGAAGAGACTGGACAGCCATTTGTCCGAAATGGTGTAGGGTTTCCTGCCCGAGCAGGGGGTTGGACTAGATGACCTCCAAGGTCCCTTCCAACTTTACTACTATTACTATTACTAATTATAAGGTACAACCAATAAAGTGATAGTCATAAGATGCCAATAGAAGCAGGTAATAGGAAAGATGAGAAAGATAATGATACAGTCCTACTACATGGTAACATATCCTTAGGCATGAGATGTACTGTTCAGCAGAGTGATTGCATAGGGGAAAAACCTCTTTGTGTTTAGTTGTTTTGGCATGCAATGCCCTACAGTGGCATCCTGAGGGGAGAAGTTGAAATAGCTTTTGTCCAGGATGTGGTGGATGGACATTAGGTTTAAAGGATTTATTATTCTGAGTGTGGAATGTCTCCTATATAAACACTAGCCTCCAAAGTTCACCCAGAAGGGAAGACTTTATTGCATCCGTCTCCTTGCTATGTTTCAGACCCTCCTCGGAAGCGCGTTGACTCCCCTATGTTGAACCGACATGGCAAACGCCGACCTGAGCGGAAGTCCATGGAAGTCTTGAGCGTCACAGATGGTGGTTCTCCAGTCCCAGCCCGACGGGCCATAGAGATGGCACAACATAGTCAGAGGTGAGCTTGTGTCCAACTAAGTGTGTGCATGAAAGAGGGGGAAAAGATCTTCAAATCTGGCATTTGGAGATTCTGTTGTTTTTCCAGTGTGCTTCCTGGCCACTGAAAACGGAACTTACAAACATTTTAAGGGTTGCCTAATCTCTAAGGCTGTTCTAGGAAGGTAAAGATTTCCCAAAATCAAAGTCAGTGCTTGATAATCTCAGGGACATATCCATGTAGCATTTTTGGCAACAATATGGAAACCCCCTCTCCCCCACTGTCTTCTGGGATTTTTCTTCAGCTTTTCAGATTAGCTTGCAGCTTTAGGATTTTCTGGTGTCTTCCATCTAAGTACCAATCAGGTTTGATTCTATTTAACTTTGGGGTAACCTGCCAGATACTGCCATTACTTCCTGATTTTATTTATGTTGCTTCCATGGCAACAATATGGAAGTATGAGGTCTTTGGTGCTGTCTGAGCATGGTATTTGCTTGATGATGTCACTTAGTCAAGTCATGAAACATCTGCAAACAATCAACCTCAGAGAGCACTTAAGATTCCACAGTTCAGCCCTGATCTATATATAAATCTCTTCTGTGGAATATGGAAAGTAGTCCTTGACTTACAATTGAGCCCCCCCCATTTCTGTTGCAAAGGGTGATCACATGATCCTGGGGCACTGCAACGGTCATAAATATGAGTCAGTTGCCAAGCGTCTGAATTTTGATCCCATGACCATGGGGATACTGCAAAGTATGAAAAATGGTCATGTCACTTTTTCAGTGCCGTTGTAACTTTGGTGATTAAATGAACTGTTGTAAGTCGAGGATTGTCTGTAGTTTGTCACCGCTTTCTTTCACTACTTTTTCTGATTCCTCGTCTAGTCTAAATCACTGACATATTTTGATAGTTTCTTACTGTGCAGGTTTTGATTGCTTGATAATGTCCCATCAAATCGTTTTTTATTCTTAGTAACCACATAGACAGATTTTCTCCAGGACAGTCTGTCCCAACCTTCAAGTCTTCCATTGGGGGATCCATCACCATTGTTACTGAGTCCATCCACCTTCCTGCTGGTCGTCTTTTCTCTTTTCTTCCATCTTTTCTAGCATCAGTGACTTCTTCAGAGAGCTAGGTTTTGGCATAATGTATCCAAAATGCAGGCTTACTCTATATAAAATGAAATGTGTGTTGTGTGTGAAGTATATATATTGTGTAGCAAAAACAGCAATGATCACTAGTAGCGAACAGCGAAGAATTTCAGGATATATATTCTGAAATTCTTTGCTGTTCTTTGCTGGTAAGGTCGAAAGATTCTTATGCTTATTCATTTCTTTAGGGTATCTTTGATTGGGGAGGCTGAAAACTTTTCATAACGCTATTTTAGACCAAAGTTTCACACATATCCCATATTCTTCTCTGTTTCACCACCTTCTTCCTTCCAAGACAGCACTAATCCTCATATATGTCTTTACCCTCCATCCCCACAGGTCTCGATCTGTAAGTGGTGCCTCCACTGGCTTATCTTCTAGTCCCCTCAGTAGTCCCAGGGTGAGTATATGGGCTAGGCAAAAAATGGTATGTTAGTAAAAGGGATGGGTGGGTACAGCAAACAACTGCGGCAGAAGATGACAAAGACAATGGTGGATAAATTAAATATTAGGCATTGAGAGGGAATGGAAGTTGGGGAAAATGATCCTTAGACTCACTAGTCTTTTTGACATCCCATCCTGCACTTGGTTCCAATTGCTGAAGTGCTGAGGACATTGTATTAGTTTTCCTGGCAGATGGGTGTGTACTGTACAATGCATGAATGATAGCCAGAAAATGCATCTGGAACAACTCACTTCCCACCCCATTTCCATAACTACATTTCCATGCTAGGGAAAAGCAACACCTGTTGACTTGCATTGGGGGAAGAGCTTTCAAAAGCACCTAGCATCCCTTTGTGGGAAAGGGGGAAGGTACAGAATAGGGAAGGAAGGGTGAGGAATATGTAGATCTTGGATGAGGAAAGTCAGAGATATATGCTTAAGCAGGGGGTAGGATTAAAGGGCAGGCCATTGCTCAAGGGCTTGGATTTATTTATTCATTTAAACAATCTGTACATTGTTGATTTGCCAGTGGATAAGTTTACAATTATCTGGTTGGCAAGAGGCAAGAAAAGAAATTATAGCAATCTTTCTGGTGTTGAACTACAACAGAATGGGATTTTAGGAGTTATAGTTCCATATACTTGGAAAGGATTAAACTGGGGAAAGGAGAGTCAAATCTGAGCAACCAAGGACATCTGCAGGATGTAGTCAAAAACATGGTGGTGACCACAATGGTGTGATCAAAGCTTCAGCAATTTTTTAAACGTGCATTGCACATTAAAGCAGGTAGAGCTTCGACTGTACCATCTTGACTATTTTTAACCATAGCCTGCAGACGCTTTGTGAATAACCAGCTGGCCCCCAAATGCTTGTTTTTGGCTTATTAGTAATAGTTGTAGTGTTGGGAAACCCAGATGAAGACTATCATGTAAAGGAAAAGGGGATTCACTTTTTCTCCATATCACCGTTCTTTCCTGCCCATAATTTATTCATTTATTCGTCAAATGTTTAAGGCCATCCAACTCCATAAAAGCTCTGGTGGTGTACAATAATAAAAGGAACGTTGGAATGATATAAAAAAACCAAGAACAATATATGTCTGGAAACAACAACGAAACTCAACACCTGAGTACAAAACTTTCCCAGAAAAGACCCACCACACATCCAACCCCTGGCCTGGAGGAAGCAGTAGGTTTTTAAAGTTTGCTTAGATGAGATTGAGGTAGTGGCTTTAGGGCTCTCTGGGAAGGCCCTGCTTCCTGGGTCCTGTCAGACAGCACTGTTTAAACAATGAGACCTGAAGCATTGGCAGAAACTACAGGAGGCAGATGGTCCTTTTAAACTAAAGGTTGCCATCAGATAGCAGAGTCAGCAGAATCAGCAGACAAGTCATTTGTAAACGGCTAGAAATCAAGCTGGTAAATGTCATGAACATTGCCAAAATATAAATTAGGGTTGTTGGTCATAGAGCAGTCCAAGATTCCATGTACCAAGGAAATCAAATAGCAGAATGTTACTAGGGGAAAGCATGATGATTTATACCATTGAGTCAATCTGCTTCTCCCAGAAATATGTCTTGCTTAATGTTAATTAATGCTGTTGCTCTTTTGTTCCACTGGAAACATATTAGAAAAAGTTCAGAATCTTTCCTCTTTTTTTCCCCCCGTACCCTGCACTGGATTCTGAATCTCTGTCTGACTCTCCATGTGTCTTTGCTGTTGTAGATTTAGAGGTGTTTCAGATTATTTCTCTTTTGAGTCAGGCACTTTCCAGACAGAGCTGGAATCTCTCTTCTTATGGATAGTTGTTCCTGAGATTGTTACACATCCTGAACCTCTTCATTGTCACCCGATTTTTTTTCACTCAGACAGATTTGTGATCTATCCTGATCCAGATCAGCCCTATTGGTACTGGTGTACAAATGGCAGTGTTCCTCCTGTTTTAACTGGGATAAGGATAGCATTGGAATGGTGGCTTACTTTTGCATATGTACAAATATCTGTTATTTAGCAACCAAGCCCATGTGTATGGATAGTCCTTGCCTTATAACCACAGTTGGAACCAAAATTTCTGTGGCTAAGTAAGGTGGTTGTTACATGAGTTGCACCCAATTTTATGACCTTCCATTATTGTTAAGTGAATCATAGCAGCTGTTAAGTGAATCATGCAGTTGTTAAGTGAATCCAGCTTCCTCCATTGATTTTGCTTGTCAGAAGCCAGCTGGGAAGGATACAAATTATGATGATATAATGTCGGGATGCTGCAACTGTTGTAAATACAGTTTACAAATACAGTAAATACTGTTGCCAATTTTGATCACATGACCTTGGGGATGTTGTGTGTAAGTTCAGGGACTGGTTGAAGGTCACTTTTTAGTGTCATTGGAACTTTGTATAGTCACTAAACAAATGGCTATAAGTCGAGGACTACCTGTACAATGGTAAACCATGCTTTTGTGTAATCTCTTGTAGCACCCAAAGTGTTAGTTTTACTACTAGCTAGAATTCAGCAATGAACCATGATTACCTCTGCAGTAGAAAACACAGCCTTTTTTAAGCAAATAATTATGCCATAAAATGTCAAGTACCCATCCTGTACTTAAACATTAGAAAGGTGCATTTTTATTACCAGCATAATGTATCTCTGGCAGTTGAGATCCCAGCAAATTTCTGCGTGCCATATAATAAAACCACACAGAAAAGACTGAATAGAGAAACTCCTAAGGGTGGTAGTGTTTCTTTATACGGTAACAGTTTGAGTTTTCAGATTTATCTGGGGAAAAGTTTAGAGTTGACAGTAGGAAAAATGGCCAATTGGGAGAGGTTTCAGAAAGTTAGTCTTGTTGAAAGGCAAACTCAGTTTGGGAAACAAGTGATATAGAAAAAATTAAGTGGCAAAGTCTGGACCTTCTTCAGGGGACAATTATATATAGCTTTGTGATAGAATCATGACTGACTGGATGAAGACATATAGACAAGGCAGGGTAGGTGAACAAAAAGCTTGAAGCAAGTTGATTCCTTTAAAAATGAATAATATGTCCAAGCGACAGTAGGGAAACTCGAAATCTGGGCCATGTTGTGAAACTCTGTTTGGGAGTAGACTATAAGATTGTCACCTGCCATTGCTCACTCCCATCTCACGGCTCTCCCCTCCTCACCTTTCTCCCCTCCCATTTCTCCCCACACCCAGAGCCCCATCTTCAGCTTCTCTCTCCCATCACCTCCCCCTGCCCCTGTGAAGACTCAGACGCTTCCTGCCAAGGGCAGCCCAGCAAGGGAGGGGGCCCTCCAGAGTCGATGTTCCACCCCCTTCCCTCTGCCTCCCAACTCTCCACCTCCTCACCCACCCTCCTCTCCCCATTGCTTTTTCCCCTCTACTAAACCCCCACCCAAATCTGTGCTGCAGGTCACTCCCCACCCCTCCCCTCGGGGAAGCCCCCTCCCCACTCCACTCGGCACTCCTGTGCACACGCCTAAAGAGAGCCCCAGCAGCACTCCCTGCGGGACACCCCCCAGCAGTCCTGGTGTGGCCGGCGTGGCATGGAAAACTCGCTTGAACTCTATCAAGAACAGCTTCCTTGGTTCTCCACGCTTCCATCGTCGGAAACTGCAAGGTGAGTATATTGTACTTTCCCTTAGATGATAGGCGTGCGGTGAATGTTTAATTATATTCACCATATAATTACAGTAAATGTTAATCATGATTAACCATAACCTCTCAACTTGCATAAGACAAGCCAAAACAGCACATTCTATCTGGGGAAGTGCTGGAGGGTAAAGAGAAAGAGCTGCGCTGGAACTGAGTATGACTGTAGACCAGGGTTTCTCAACTTTGAGCATTTTAAGATGTGTGGACTTCATGCTGGCTGGGGAACCCTGGGAGTTGAAGCCCACACCTCTTAAAACACCCAAAGTTGAGAAGCATTGCTGTGTAGATAGTGAAGAAGAAAGCCAGAAGTGCAATCAAGAGCACAGAAGTAGAGTTTGAATGAAGACTGCCTAAAGCAGTGGTTCTCAACCTTTTTAATGCCGCGACCCCCAACCGGTTGTAAGTCGAGGACTACTCAACCAGTCGTAAGTCGAGGACTACTCAACTGGTGCAGCACCGTTTGCAGAATGGGACTTTTGGTGGACTCAGCAGGGCAGAGACAGCCTGGACAATTCCTATTGGCTTTTGAAAGCCAGTAGAATTAGACTCTATTCAAGAGAGTCTATTCTATTGGCTTTCAAAAGCCAATAGAATAAAAGGGAGTAGCACAGCTCAGGAAAAGGGGAAAAAAATGGCGGACTGCGCTGTTTGGCAACCCCCGTGAAATGGTCGTTCGACCCCAAATGGGGTCCCAACCCACAGGTTGAGAACCACTGGCCTAAATTATGTATAAAGAATGTGTTAAATGTAGGAACACAATGTTTAAAGTTAGGAAGTGGTATCTTGGCACTGTCTTTTGCCAAAATGGATACTAATTCATTTTGCTCAAGTACTATTTATAGAAGAGATGAAAAACTTTGGTGTCCCAACAGATGATGCTGAACTAAGTTCTGAGATATCCTGGTCAGTGGGATGGGATGCAGAGAATTGTAATATATCAATATCTGATTTTGTATTAGTTAGAGAGCCTTCCCAGGACTACCTTGGAAATGCTTTTAAAAAAACCTTTTTTATGTCTGGAATGTCTGGATGTCTGGAAACATCAAGGAGAGAAGCAACCTAGAGCTGAGGAGAAATTTCCTGACACTTAGAACAATTAACCAGTGGAACAACCTGCCTCCAGAAGTGGTGAACGCTCCAAAACTGGATGTTTTTAAGAAGAGACTGGACAGCCATTTGTCTGAAATGGTATAGGGTTTCCTGCCTGAGCAGGGGGTTGGACTAGATGACCTTCAAGATCCCTTCCAACTCTGTTATTCTGTTGATCATTCTTCAAACGATGGAAAAATAAAAGCAATTTCCTGTTTTATGCTTGGCATCTGGTAGCAAATGAGCTGCTTTGAAAACTTGCAACTAGAAGGAAATGCGACCAGGTTGTTTCCATTTAACACTTACTCTTTTTCTCCTTGCAGTTCCCACACCAGAAGAAATGTCTAGTCTTACACCAGAATCATCTCCTGAGTGAGTATTAGAAGAGACCAACAGGAGGAAAGAGAATTCAGTCATTTTTTTTCTTCCATTCATGGTTCTTACAAATGCTTTTCCAAATGACTATATTGTCCCAGAATTAATGAGCTTAATATGAGGAATCCAGATTTTTCCCTCTTTCCCATGAATGTATAATACCAACAATACATCACAAGTTTCATCTTTATAGTTTCAATGTATGGTAGGAGAAATTCCTTGGTCACCTCCTGGGTACTTCTGACACTTTCAGTGGAGACAAGCAAAGCTTCTTCCAAGATTTCTTTCCCAACTGCCTCGCTTTCCTTGTTCTGCTTTTCTTTCCTTGCAGGCTTGCCAAGAAATCCTGGTTTGGAAATTTTATCAACTTAGACAAAGAAGAACAAATTTTTGTGGTCATCAAAGACAAACCCCTGAGTTCCATCAAGGCTGATATTGTACACGCCTTCCTCTCAGTAAGGGCTCAGATGGAAGAAAAGGAGAGGGCTGGGATTAATTCTGAAAAATTAAATGGAGCTAGTTGGTAGGATGAGGTCCTGTTGATGCTGAGGGCAGAAGGGTGGAGCAGGCTAGAGTAAACAGGACACCAAAAGGAAGATCTTTTCCATTCGATGTCTATGGCTTGACATTGCTTACCTTCACCTACAGATCCCCAGCCTGAGTCACAGCGTTATATCCCAAACAAGCTTTCGGGCCGAATACAAATCATCGGGTGGGCCCTCCGTCTTCCAAAAACCTGTCAAGTTCCAAGTTGACATCAGCTACTCTGAGGGGGGAGAGGCACACAAGGACAGTGGGATCTACTCAGTCACCTTCACCCTCATCTCAGGTGGGTAGCCAGAAGTCCCACCTTCCCACTCGGAGTCACCTTTAGGAGCCATAATGTTTATTGGACTTTACAAACATTCACGTTTTGCAGTTCCGATTAAAAGCAAACAAAGCCAAAAGAAGCAGATTCCACGTTTGTGTATGTGTGTGTGTGTGTGTATGTGATGTACATTGTGCTTTTTGGCTTTAAGTTCAGAGTTTTTTAGCCCTTAGAGAAGGGATTAAGTAGTGTGAAGTGAGCAGTAACCTCCAGAGGCAAAATATTGCGCCTTCTTTAACATCTGAGAAGACTCTTTTTCCCCCCCGGCTGTTCTGAAAACAGTGCAACCCATAATCCTGAAGGGATTATACGTACTGTATACAATTCTGCAAGAATCTCGATTTTCAAGTCTCCAGACCTCATTGACATAGCAGAGACAACGGTCTCTTCTCGCCGTTAGACTTGAGTGGCATTCTACTTTTAGACCAGTGGTTCTCAACCTGTGGGTCAGGACCCCATTTGGGGTCAAACAACCATTTCATGGGGGTCGCCAAACAAGGCTGTCCGCCATTTTTTTTCCCCTTTTCTTTGGCCACGCCCCTGGCACCCGGTGATGTATAAGTGGTTGGGGGTCACCACAACATGGGGAACTGTATTATGGGGTCGCGGCATTAGAAAGGTTGAGAACCACTGTTTTAGACCCTGTTTTCTGGAATCTATTCCATTTCTGCTCCTGCTTCTGCCTCTTTAGGTCCCAGCCGTCGGTTTAAGCGGGTTGTGGAAACAATTCAGGCACAACTACTCAGCACACATGACCAGCCTTCTGTGCAAGCCCTTGCAGGTAGGTGTTACTGTACTCCATTGTTTTGTATTCATACAAACAACTGACTCTTCCTGCTTGTTTTGCGCAAGAGCAAGGTGGATTTCTAAGGCTGCGCAGACCATTCAAAAGGACAATTTGCAAAGCGAGTCGGGGCAAATGGAGCACTCGTGTCTAAGGTGTTGAGCTCCTGTGTCATCTGGAAAGCTCACTGCAGCTGCTTTAACAGCTTTCCTGGGTTATCTGTGTGTTTGCTTATATGTACGTGTATGTGTGTCCATACAGTATTGCTTCACTTCACCGGCATCGTGTTGGGTTTGTTGACTTCTCTGGACATTTGCATACCTTTGGGACAGCCTGGGAAAATTCTTGAAGTTTAAAGATGCAACTTTCCCAGGATGCTTTACAAAATGCCCTTTTGAATGCTTTGCCTTAAAATATCTAGGACAGGGGTCTTCAGACTTGGCCCTTTTATGACTTGTGGATTTCAATTCTCAGAATTCCTCAGGCTATGGAATTTTGGGAGTTGAAGTCCACAAGTCATAAAAGGGCCAAGTTTGAAGACCCCTGATCTAGGATCACTTATCGTTCCAGAGAAAAGCTATCTAAGTAGTTATTAAGAGCACCAACTTGCTGGTATATCACCCATCCATTTATCCAGCCATCCACTTCTTCATCCAGCCATCCATCTTTAAAAGGAACATACTGTGAGGGCCTACCAGTGATTGTTAATATAGCTGCTATTTATGACAGCTATGTGAAGCCTCCAGATCCAAAGGACCTGGTGGGGAAGCAAAATAGGGAAGACTGGTTGCCTTCAGAATCTGCCTGTAGAAGAGATTTCCAGTTGATTTCTTTGGCTATTGGGATGCTGAACTGTTTTTTTTCTGATCCAGCATCTTCTGTCTCTACTCTCTGGTCCTGGAATGTTTTCAGCCACAATATATTTGGACTCTGCAAGTGAGTTTTTCCTTTAACAAATGGACGTAGGTACCAGTTTGAAATCAGCTGTCTTGGGATGTCAGTAGAGGACAGAAAGAAGATGAGGCCCATTTTTGGACAATTGGTGTTATGAGGGGACGCTTGGTGGTGAAATTATCCTAATCTTTGATCTTCCTCCAACATTTAGACGAAAAGAATGGGCAGCAGCTCCGTTTCCCAGGCACCCCAACCCGCAGCTGCCAGCCCTCTCGCCGCTCTGAATCAGACATCCCAACTGAACAACATCGACATGGCTCCAAGGACAAGAAGCTTGTCTCCTCTAATGGGACTCAAGTCCAACAACCACAAACTCCGTCCCCACAGCAGCCATGACAGATGGAGCGTGAGAGCAGCACGTGGGTGGCTGGGGGGGAAAGCAGCTGAAAGAAGCCACCTCCAGCCCCCTGGAAATAGCTAAAGCCACCCTAATGGACAGGAGGAGCCAACCAGCCCCATGGATGGGTCAAGGCCCACCAGGGACGCAAGGGACAGGGTGGGAAGATGGAGGTTGGTCCAGATTTAATGACCCCACCTTACCCTGGGGCAGAAAGTGGCCATGTTGGGAGAGGCCCATACTGTGAACTTGTAAATAGCTAATGAAGAACAGAAAACACAACAAATCCACAAAAGAACAGGAGGTGGGCAGGAAAACACAACATGGAACCGAAAACAAAGACAATGGACTGAATGGAAAGAAGAGAAAACACACATGATGAGAGAAACCGGGCAGGAGCCGGTGGGGGTGAGGGATTTAATCTGATTCCTTTAGTGGGACGGTGAGGGTCTTTATTTTCTTGAACCCTTTCAGACTCCTTTCTCACTTTCTTACCTTGAGACTTATTTTTCTCCCCCCTGCTTTTTCTTCTGTAGTATTTACAATATCATGGTGGCATTAAGCTAAAATTATGAGACAGAGCTAGTAGGAAGATGTCCTGTGTAGGAGAGAAATTAAAAGTTTCCATTCCTGTTTCTTTTTCTTCTTCTTTTTTTTTTTTTTTCATTTTATGTAACCGGTCAATGTTTTAAAAACATTTTCATGAGTTGGGGTGAAAATATTTACCAGAATTCTAATAAACATTTTGTTACAAGACAAACTTTTGAAAAATTCTCCCCTAAATCTATATTTTAAAAAAAAACCAACAACAAGCCAAATCTAACTGTGAAATGTGGAATCAAATTAGAAATTCAGGATCCAGAAATCCAGACTACGTTGTGCTTATATTATAGTTATTTTACTGGCAGCTGGCATTTTGAAAATTTGTTCAAAAGAGAAATGGGAAAAATAAGTAAGTAAGTAAATAAATAAATAAAAATGCCAAATGCCAAAAATTATCTAAAGCTTCAATAATAAATACAGTACAGTTTCAAATCGCAATTTTTGGAAAATCAGCAAATATAACCTGTGCATGGCCAGGAATAGTCAATAGCATTAAAAATGAGCCATCTGAGTTTGCAAAACAATTGTAGCACAGTGTAGTTATATTCTCCATTCTTACTCCAACTTGGGTTCTGAACTAATGTGAATGCTCTTTATTCCAATTAAATGGATTTGGGGAACTTTCAGATTTGGTTTTTATTGTGCACTTCTCCTGCTTCGTATCACAGCTCTTTAAGGAGACCATTGGCAGATTTTAAATTGTGTCTGTATTAAGGGCAAGTGGCTATTTTAAGAGAGGAATTCTTTTTTTTTTCAGCTGTCCCTGGATTTATAAAAGAAACATGAGTATATTTCATAATATCCCACCACCCTATTCTGTTTTTGCCTGTGTCCTTTTACTGCCAAAATTAGGGTTTTTTAAAAAGCATTTCTATAATCTCTGCTGGCTGGCAATATCTGAACGAATTGAATGACTGATCTCAGCTTCTCATTGGCTCTGTCTCATGTAATTTTAGCAGCCCTGTCATAATTCTTTGACTCTTAAATGGGCTATATACAATCCAACTCCTTCCCTGAGGCCTCTGTCCTTTTTCCAAAGGGCCCGGTCCCACACACCCAAGGTAGTCCTTTGTAAGTGTGTCTGTCTGTGTGTGTCAGGAAGCAGGAATGGGGGGGGGAGGAGGAGTTGCAGTTGCTATTTTGACTTTTTTTTTAATTTTGACAAGCATTTGCCTTGTCTAGGATGCCCCTGGAAGGCAGAGGAGCTTGGGGACACCAGGGTTAGGACCTGCTGCCTCAACATTGTCAACATTTGAACAAGGGGCATTGAACAACATTAGGACCTGCCACATCAACACTTGGACGAGGGGCAAACTTCACAGAAATTAGTAACTGGGATGGAGAGACGGGAGTAAAAAAAAAACCTCTAGGGTTTCATAAATCAATGGGCAGCAAGATATTCATCCTTGATCCTTCAGCTTGGGGCCTGGAGGTAGGGTGGGTTGTGGGAAGTCTCCAAAATCAATCCTGTATCTTTTCCTCCTCCCCATCCTATTTGAGCTGTTTCTTTCGGTTGGGAGGGGAAGCACAAGTTGTGGGGAAAGGTGCATGTGAGAGTGCGCATAAACTGGAGAGAATCAGATGTGATCTGCATCCCTTCTGCCCTGTTTCCTAGCTGGGTCTGACTATCTCTTTTGTGAATCCGTTCTTATTGTTTGTATACACACACACACACACACATACACACACAAATGCACACACATACCCATCTCCTCTTCCCTCTGATAGTCCAACCTTCCAATGTTTTGTCATCTCTGGGAGGGAATCTAAATATTGCTCAGAAAAAATATATATACAATCGCTCAAATTCCTTTGTTGCTGAGAGCTAAGTGGTGCTGTCTTGAGTATGGATAAAATCGTCAAAAAGGTCTCTTCAGGGAAAGTGATTCTGGCTACCTTGGGGAAGTGTGGGCGATACCATTTCTATGCTATAAACGCAGATACATTCTGTAATCATTTTGCTAAGAAAAAACTCACACACCCATTGTTGTAAGAAAACCTGCAATTATTTCAGGTTTTCAGGGTATGGTCATCAAGAGATTTGTTGTTGTTGTTAATTGCGAAGTCATGTCCGACCCATCGTGACCCCATGGACAACGCTCCTCCAAGTCTTCCTGTCCTCTACCATCTTCTGGAGTCCATTTAAGTTCACACCTACTGCTTCAGTGACTCCATCCAGCCATCTCATTCTTACAAGAAAGCAAAATGGCTGTCTGAGGAAGCTTTGCAAATAGCTGAGGAAAGAAGGAAAGCGAAAGGCAAAGGAGATACACCCAGTTGAATGCAGAATTCCAGAGAGTAGCTAGAAAAGAATGCCTTCTTAAATGAACAGTGCAAAGAAATAGAAAAAAACAACAGAATAGGGAGGACCAGAGATCTCTTCAAGAAAATTGGAGATATGAATGGAACGTTTCATGCAAAGATGGGCATGATAAAGGACCATCAAGAGATGGAGCTACCCAAATCAGAGAGGCATCTGAGTTGAGTTTTAGACAAACCAGGATATTAAATGTACAGGTAGTCCTTACTTAATGACTAGAATTGAGCCCAGCATTTGTTTTAAGTTTTGCAGTTGTTAAGTGGGTCACCAAATGAACTTTATTTTTACGACTATTTTAACAAGCAGATCATGTGGTCATTAAGCAAATCGATTCTCCTGAATAGACTTTTTTTTGTCAGAAGCTAGCAAAAAAATAGCAAATTGGGGTCATATGACTGTGGGACACTGCAACCAATCGTAAATATGACTCAGTTGCCAAGCTGCCAAGAAATGTGATCATGTGGCCAAGGGAGGAGGGTGTGTTTATACGTTAGTTGTAACTTAAGGATGGGTTGTAAGTAACTGGGGGTGGTCCACTGTAACTTCAAACGGTCCTTAAGTGACTTGTCATTAAATGAGGACCACCTGTGCAGATAGTCCTCAGCTTTTGACCACAATTGAGCCCAAAATTTGTTGCTAAGTGAGACAATTGTTAAGTGGGTTTTGCCCCAATTTTACAATCTTTCTTGCCACAGTTCTTAACTGAATCACTGCATCATTGTCTTGTTCAGGGGTAGGCAGCATTGGCTCTTTTATGACTCATGGACTTCAACTTCCAGAATTCCTAAGCCAGCTATGCTGGCTCAGAAATTCTGGGAGTTGAAGTCCATGAGTCATTAAAGAGCCAAGGTTGCCTACCCCTGGTCTAGTTAGTAACATGATTATAAAGTGAATCTGGCTTCCCCATTGACTTCGCTTGTCGGAAGGTCACAGAAGGTGATCACATGATCCTGGGACAATGCAACTGTCATAAATTTGAGCTGGTCACCAAACATCCAAATTCTGATCACATGATCATGGGGATGCTACAACGGTCTTAAGTGTGAAAACCATCATAAATCATTTTTTTCAGCAATTATTTAATTTCGAAGTCATTAAATGAATGATTGTAAATCGAGGATTATCTGTACAGATGAAACGAATAACCGTATCTTCAGGGATTTAAGGATAGATTTAGGTGTTTGCCAGGAATGAAGAAGAAAGATGGGGTATGTGTATAAAAGTGGACAGTGGAAAGCAAGAGTGGATGATTGGACTATGAGCTTAGATTTCTGTGTTACAAAGGATTGCACCTTTAGAATCTGTGTTGAAAAGTAGTAGATAGTTTATACATTTGTGGCACAAGTAGGAATAACGATAATGCAATGATTCATGCAAAGGTTATAGCTGTGAAAGGGGCTGCAGAGAGTGCCATATACAATGAAAAAAATGAGACTAAAAATGACAGGTTACCCACAAAATACTCACCACATTTATGAATTCTGTTATTAACAAGAAAAATTCCATTGTTAACAAGGAAGAGGAATTCTGGGAATTGAAATCCATAGGTTGTAAAGTTGCTATAGTTGTCCACCCGTGTTAGAATGTGTCTGAAGAGATGGAATTGTTTGGGGAACAGTCCATTTAGAGAGCACCATCCTTTTTAAAAGATTCCCAGCATGCTTTGATTTAAGAATGGTTAATTCTATTTACTGTCCCGTCTCCAAAGAAACATGGAACTATTCATTATCCTTTGATTGCCAGAATTCATTTTCACACTTGCAGAAAACTCTGTCTGGGAGTTTTTCCCACTTAGCTAAAAATGTATTGTATGTATCTTCAAACATTTGTCAATCTTCACCTGGTTTTAAATGGTTTATCTCCAAATCTTTCTGGGAGACACAGCCTTTCTATTTTCTACATAGTTAAAAATATTCAATATAATATTAATGCTGCATATAAATGCACCAGACTTGCTGTGATCTAAGAAAAAAAAAAGGAAACATTCTTCTCTGAACAAGATAGGAGCCAAAAACTTTATATTTATTATTTTTTCATCACAAAAGAACTGAAATTGGGCCAGGAAAAGTTATAAATACAGCAATTAAAATAAAAGTTGTCAGGGAGGAAGACAGAAACATTCCCCCCCCCCTTGTGGTAGACTATAATTTAGGCAAAGTTTTAAGAAAATATAAAAGAAAGACAGCTTTGGATTTTCAGATCTGGCCCTCTAATGGGATAATGCAACTTCATTAAATATTAGGAAAAGCAAGTTCCTTTTTGATCAGAGGAAGGACGCCCAAAGTTGTTAATTTCTAAAAGATATAAAGAAACTGGATTCACTCTGATGAGCATAAATCTACCTATAAATCAGATATTTATACACATTTTAAGAAGTTGGGTAGTATTATTATCTTGCAAGTCCAAAAGAAACAGTTCATGCATGTGTAGATATAACCATTCTAGCTGTTTAAACCAGTTTTAGAATATCAGTACATGTAGTTTAGTCAGCTTTGAGGTAGCAAGATCTACTGTGCAAAATGGTTGTGCTGCTTTGTCTGCTTTCTTCCTTTATTCTTCTCCATGGCTCTGCTGGCAAAGAAGAGTGAAGAGGAGGATAACTATTCATTTTCATCTATACTAGGAAGTCAATTAGGAGATAAAAAAAACAAGGCCTCCTCACTTTTCAATTTATAACGGATTCTTCCAGGAAGCTGGTTCGGGCAGGTAAGCTGGCCAATTGGGAAGTAGTTTGCAAAGAACAAACCCAGAAGATGACAAGTAGATCTTCCAATGAAAAACACTGGGGCTAACTTCCCTGTCAGAAGAAAATGGCTGAAGGAAACTTAGGATATTTCTCCTCTACCACAGAATTATATGGATCCAAAATAAGGACGGCCAAATAAGAAAACTTTTTAAATGAGAAAATGATAGGTCAGGCAATGTTTTAGGCTCTCTTTCCCTCACAGCCAAATGCTGAGGACCTGGTGCAGCATTTTCCACCAGAAAATCAGGCCTGGTGCACGGACAGGTTCATTGAGACACCACCTTCTTCTGTGGAACGAGAAGAATCAGAGTGAAAGAGTCTGCACTGAGGTCTGCATGTTCTGGGAGTTCTCATCTGCACACCGGTGCAGTACATGGACTGAGCAGCCGCCGATGTGCTGGAAATCCACCGCAAAAAGGCCAAACAGCAGGAAGAGGGCCATGGCCATGGCCCATTCACAGTAGGCTGCCTCAGAGTGCAGTTGCAGGGAAAAAAGAGCAACCGCTGAAGTTGAAAAGTCAAGGCATCATAATTTCCAGCTAGTGGAGCCAAATTCATAACAGAGTTGGAGAGGGCAACATACATTCCAGGAATGGCTTCAGTTTGATGGGAAGTGAAGGAGGATGGTCGTCCCAAAGGTGCTTTTTTTCTACAAGCAACTGGACTTTCTTGTTGTTTCTTTGAAGAATTTACGCTTCTCATCCAAGAAGCTTCTTCAGCTCTGACTGGATGGTGGGGAATGGAAGGATTTATACTCCTTGCAGATAGCTGGTCATTTGCATTCTTTTAAAGAGTCGTTGAGGCCACTTGGAAGTTTATCTGTCTTCAAGATCAACTGAGTGGTGCAAAAGATGTGGAGCCTTCTTGGAACTGCTGAAAGGACTGTGTTATAGGCTGGAGATAGATGATGTCGTATCCCTCCCCCTCTGTTGAGAGAGGGCTGTTCTATGATGACAGAACTGAACAAGCTTCTTGAATGAGAAGCGTAATGTCTTCAAGGAAAAACAGAAAGTCCAGCTGCCTTTTAAAAAAAGCACCTTTGGGACATTCCCCAAGGATCTGAAGACTTCTTTGATCTTGCAACCTCCCTAAAACATCTTCAAAGAAAATTTCATGAGGCTCATGCCTCTTCCAAACCAATGTTAGGGCAATAGTAACAGGGTTCTACTTCTCCTGCCCCTTCCACCCTAAAGACTGCTAGCTCCACCTCCGCCATCTCTTTCTGCACACCCCTATTCCAGAACTGAGATTCCTACCCACCCACCCACCCCGTGCTCCAGCTGTGCCAATCTCTTATTCAGGATACTGGAAATAAACAAGGCAGAACCACAAAAGCTAAGGAAGAACCGGAGTGGTCCGATCCAGCTCCCTCCATGTCTTGGTTTCACTTGGTTGGTCAGAAAACTCTGGATCCAGAAGTAAAAGATGCCAACCACAAAAGCCAAGAAGGCACCCGTCACATGGACTTCCAGTTGGTTATATTGCTGAAAAAGAGGGAAAGACAGAAGGGTCATTCCATGTCCTTAAATACAGAGGAAGAACATAATAGGTAGAACATAATTATTTATATAGATAGTGCAATCAAATACAGGGAGTCCTTGGCTTATGATCACAATTGAGCCTAACATGTCTGTGGTTAAACGAGACACCTATTAAGTGAGTTTTACCCCATTTTACAACCTTTCTTGCCAGTTGTTAAGTGAATCACTGCAGTTGTTAAATTAGTAATATGGTTTATAAGTGAATCTGGCTTCCTCATTGACTTTGCTTGCCAAAAGATCGCAAAAGGTGATCACATGACCCCGGGACACTGCAACGGTCATAAATATGAGTTAGTCGCCAAGCATCCAAATGGATCATATGGACCATGAGGATGCTGCGACAGTCCTATGTGTGAAAAATGGTCATAAGTCACTTTTTTCAATGCCGTTGTAACTTTGAACAGTCACCAAACGGACTGTTATAAGTCAAGAACATTGGAAAGGTGCTGCTTCCCAGCTTCAGATGCTAGAATTGTCCCAGAGAGAAAAACTTCTAATAGCTTTTCCGTGCTAATTTAAATGAAAGGATCTCAGTAATGAGGACCCATTTGGTGCAGGGATTAAAGTGCTGGATTAGAAGCGAGGAGATTGTGAATCCTTCTTAGGCAGGAAAGTTGGCTGAGTGACTTTGGGCCAATTACACTCTCTCAGTCCAAGTCACCTCATGGCATTGTTATCATGGGAACTATAGGACAAGGAATCACTGTGTATGTCACACCTTGACCTGGACAAAATAAAGGTGGGATAAAAAAATAATAATGCACCATATAAATAATAATAATAGTAGTAGTAGTAGTAGTAGTAGTAGTAGTAGTAGTAGTAGTAAAGTTGGAAGGGACCTTGGAGGTCATCTAGTCCAACCCCCTACTCAGGCACGAAACCCTACACCATTTCGGACAAATGGCTGTCAGTCTCTTCTTAAGAACTTCCAGTGTTGGAGCATTTACTGCTTCTGGAGACAGGTTGTTCCACTGATTAATTGTTCTCACTGTCAGGAAGTTTCTTCTTAGTTCTAGGTTGCTTCTCTCCTTGATTAGTTTCCACCCATTGCTTCTTGTCCTGCCTTCAGGTACTTTGGAAAACAGCTTGATTCCCTCTTCTTTCTGGCAGCCCCTGAGATATTGGAATACTGCTATCATGTCCCCCCTTGTCCTTCTCTTCGTTAAACTAGACATACCCAATGCTAGCAACCGTTCCTTATATGTTTTAGCCTCCAGTCCCCTAATCATCTTTGTTGGTCTTCTCTGTACTCTTTCCAGAGTCTCAATATCTTTTTTACATTGTGGTAAAACTCTCTTCTGAGTACTAACTTCTGATACTGGGCAGGAGAATGGTGCTGTTGTACAGGCAGTCCTTGACTTATAACCATTCATTTAGCGACTGTTTGAAATTACAACAACACTGAAAAAAGTGACTTACAACTAATCCTCACATTCGCAACCATTGCAGCATCCCCACAGTCACGTGATCAAAATTTGGGCATTTGGCAATTGGCATGTATTTACAAGGATTCCAGGATCCCGTGGTCATGTGATTGCTATCTGCAACCTTCTGGCCAGCTTCTGACAAGCAAAATCAATGGGGCAAACCGGATTGACTTAATAAACATATGATTCACTTAACAACTGCAGCAATTCACCTAACAGCCATGTGGGGGGGGGGAGATCATGAAATCAACCACAATTCACTTCACTTGCTTAGCAATGGAAATTCTGGCCCCAACTATGGTCATAAGCCAAGGACTACCTATAACAGGGGTCTTGAAACTTGTCAAGTTTAAGACTTATGGACTTCAACTCCCAGAATTCTTTGCTGGCTGAGGAATTCTGGGAGTTGAAGTCCACAAGTCTTAAAGTTGCCAAGTTTGAAGACCCCTGACCTATAACTTAATCAGCCCCTATCCCAAGTATTGGGATGATTCCAAGTGGAAAACAACAGTGTGACCGGGGGGGGGGGGTGAGGGATGCTAGCTGATGCTATTTCTTCTGCTCTGCAACCAGTCAGGTGGTTTCCAGAGCTTTGAATTAAGCTGTGGGGTAGTGGGAATCAATATAGATCAGCTTCAAAGAGTGGAGGGTTTTTTTAGGTTTAGGATTGAAATCATGTGACAGTGTAAAAGATCGCTGACTTTCTGTCTATGGAGATTCTGTCTGTGATTTCTGTCTAGATTCCTGTCTATGGTGATTCCCTGGCTTTCTCTTCCCCATGCTCTGGTCTTTCTATCTCTCGGTGGTAGCTTACCTGGAAATTCCCCACTAATGATGCACCAAAGGCGCAAAGTAGACCTAAAATAAGTCCAACTAAATTCAGCCAGGAATGACAGCCATAATCTCGGACTTGTTGGTACTTTAGAAAGCAAATCACCACACCTGAAAATAACAGTGGGATAAATTATTTTTTTGGGTCAGATAGATTTATAGCCTAATATGCTGATCCACTGTTGTTAAACACGTCCCCAAAAGAATCTGCTGCTCTTTACATAGGTCAGCATATCCCCCTCCCTCCCTCCCTTCCACAATGGTAAGTGACCCACGTTCCTTGAAAGACAACAGAGAAGAAGTAATTGTAACAGTGCTTGAATAGATTTATGCTGCTTGGTTCAGACGTTGCCAAGCCATGGTTTGTTTCAACATGGTTCACTGAAAGAAAATCACCTTTGATTGAAGAAGCTTCTTGGATGAGAAACGAAACGTCTTCAAAGAAAAACAAGGAAGTACAGTTGGCTCATGAAAAAAGCATCTTTGGGGTCCCCTTTGGTTGTTTTGTTCAACACTTAAGCATGGTAAGAAACTCACTCAAGAAACCCCAGCAACTGGAAATAGAGCCTCTTGTAGATAGTATAGAAGAGCTGTGTTTAGTTTATCATAGCAAAAATGTAGGAGTCAGATAGCATCTTTTCTGAGTAACAAATTGTATTAAAAGGCATAAACTTTCCAGAGCTGCAGCTGAGCTAATGCCTGTTAATTACATTTGTTACTCAGAAAAGGTGATGCTAAACTTTTGATTATTCTTTTTTAACATGGAAAGAATTTGCTGAGCATTTTATTATTTCAAAGCTAGCAGGTTATGGCGAGTCTCTGGTTATATCCAAGAACCCCAAAGTTACATGGATCTCATGTAAAACATTGATTAAAAACAGTTTAAGTATGCCTACATCTACCATGTTTCCCTAAAAGTAAGACCTACCCCGAAAGTAAGACCTAGCTTGGTTTTTGGGGTGGGCCTAATATAAGCCCTACCCCCAAAATAAGCCCTAGTTTTGGGGCAAGGTGCACACCTAAAAATCAAGCTGGGTGGGTGCAGCTGCCCCAAGTGCCCCACATACGCTTACCTTACTGATAGGACCGCCAAAGCTAAGCCTTCCATGCCCCGAAACTTGTTGCGCTGTGTGGTTTGTCACACCGGTGCCACTGCTTGTGGCAGGAGATCGCATGGCACTTTGGGCTGTTTCCGCTACTTGCGGCAGGACGCCACATGGCGCTTTGGGCCATAGCCACTAGCCCAAAGCACTTTGCGGCCTTCTGCTACAAGCGGTGGCAATGGCCTGAAATGCCCTGAGGCTTCCTGCTGCGAGCGGCAGCAACAGTGTGAAGCACCATTTCGGCTCCTGCCACGAGCAGTGGCAACGGCGCAATGCGTCACGTCCAGCTGTAAGCAGTGGCAAGCGGCCGCTGAAGAAGTCATGATGTGGTGCAACAGGTGTCAGTGCGTGGAAGGCCTGGCTGCAGCGGTCCTAACGTAAGACATCCCCTGAAAATAAGACCTAGTGCCTCTTTTGGAGGCAAAAATAATATAAGACTAGATCTTATTTTCGTGGAAACACAGTATAGAGACTCCAGCAGATAATTACTTTACAACTGATAAGGATGCAAGATAAGAAAGGAGACTCAAGAAGCTATCAAAGTGTGAGATTGTTACAATAACTTTCTTTGAAATGAAACGGCAGTTTTGATATAAGAGAAGTGCCAAGACTACTTGTTATTCTAACAAATTGACTCTGCACTTAACTGCTGGAAAGAGGAGAGATAAAGAAACAGCCATTACTGGTATTCTTGGATCTTCTGCCTTTCACTAAAGACATAAATTCTACTGGTATTAACACTTCATTGAAAACGTGCTAAGCCATAACTCTGTGTGAAGCCTGACGACTGTGCAACATGTTCATTATTGTAAAATCCTTGAGTGTTTCCTTAAAAACAGCTCTGCAGAAAGAATCGATATGAAGAAAAACAGTTTTAACAAGTCACCATGCTTTCTTCTGAAAGGGGTGATGGGTCATCAGAATCCTCAAATTCAGGAGTGTCCATTGTAAGAGAGGGCACATTGAGTTTGCTCATCTAACGGATTGATGCATTAAGCTATTAACTGCACGGTCTTGTAGCATTTATAGGATGGGGAATAGATGGAGAGAAATACCTTACCTAAAAAGGCTCCAAGATTAAGAATTTGTCCAAACACACAACTCTGGGGTGGATAAGCACCGCACGTGCTGAGAAACGAGAAATTAGGAAATTTCACATAACTAGATGCAATTTTAGAAGCTGTGGCTGTTTTACTCGTTGCTTCAGAAGTCCCCATCCCAAGATATCATATTCAAAGAGACCAAAAACTGCCTTTCCACGGGCTGGTGGTTATAGGTTGTATTAGGTTATAATTCTCATTAGTTTACTCCTGTGGCAAAGCTTGATTTAAAAAAAACCCCAATCCAATACTTGACTTTTTTAGTATGTATTTGGGTGAAGGAATGTTTTCTGTGTAAAAGAAAGTTGACACAGTCAGCTTAGGCTAAGAGTCTCCAAACTTGGCAAGTTTAAGACTTGTGGACTTCAACTTCCAGAATTCCCCAGCCAGCATGATAAATGCCCCCTTTTTATCCAATGGCCCTGTTTGCCCTCCCTCCCTCCTGCATCTTTTGAAGGGTTGATATTTTCTACTCCATCTCTGCAATTTTCCCAAGATCAAATGTAAGTGTAAAAGTCAATTACGTTTAGACTAGATTTGCCAGACTCTTAAGCAAATTTGGATGAGCAAGGTGATTAACTTACATGCCATAACTCAACTGGCACATGTGATTTTTTCCACATATATTAATAACAATAAAGTAGAGGTAATCCTTGCGAGAAGACTCTTGCGAGTCCCTTGGACTGCAAGGCGTTGAAACCGGTCAGTACTAGAAGAGATCAACCCCGACTGCTCTTTAGAAGGCCAGATCCTGAAGTTGAAACTCAAGTACTTTGGCCAATTAATGAGAAGGAAGGACTCACTGGAGAAGAGCCTAATGCTGGGAAAGATTGAGGGCAATAGAAGACGGGGATGACAGAGAATAAGATGGGTGGATGAAGTCACTGAAGCAGTAGTCGTGAACTTAAATGGACTCCAGAAGATGGTAGAGGACAGGAAGACCTGGAGGAACGTTGTCCATGGGGTCGCCATAGGTCGGACACGACTTCGCAATTAACAACAACAAGGTAGTCCTTGACGTACAACAATTTATTTAGTGAGTGTTTGAAGTTACAACAGCACTAAAAATGGGACTTATGACCAGTCATCAACTTATGACCATCACAGAATCCCCTAGGTCAGCTCACCTTGCTTAGCAATGGAAATTTTGATCCCAAGTGTGCCCATAAGTCAAGGACGACTTGTATTGTTTGTTCTTGGAGGCGAAACCTTCTTCCACCTTACCCAAAACCTTTTCTTAACCATCGGTCCACCTTATCCTAAATCTCCAGTTTTTTGCTTGCTTACCTTTTTGCCCCTTTTGATTTAGGATAGCTATCCCAGTCATGGCAATTTCCAGGTATGTGGACTTCAACTCCCAGAATTCCACAGCCAGCATAGCCACTGAGGAGAATTCGGGGAGTTGAAATCCATACCGGAAATTGCTAAGGTTGGGAAAGACTATCTTAAATCATAAAAAGCAAAAATATAAGCAGGCAAACAACTTGGAGAGGGTATTGTATAAAATTGGGGCAACTACAAAAAAGACCTTCATCTTTACTAGGGATAACTTGGCATTTACGAATTGGGGGAGAAGAGGATTAGAATGGAACATGATTTGTGGGCTGGTGAGGTAAGTTTTCCCACCAAAATACCTGAATTGGGGAAAAAAATTCCATACCTGATATATGGAAATGCTTCCGTGATGTTGACCGAGCCATTTGTAACTGCCATGGCAAATCTGAAGAAATGGGAACCTGGTGAGACAACTAGAACAGTCTTACTGAAACTGAGTTTGTTATCCCTAGTTGACTTAGACAATGTATTGCAGGCCCATCAATGGGAGTGTCAAAATATGCAAGTGATGGGTGTGACATCTCCATGGAAGGCCGTTATCCTCATCATGCACTTACTAAAGTAGGCAGAGTTTCATTGAGATGCTATGGCTGCCATCTTCTCCCAGTTACATGTTATAATGCACATAATGCACATTAGACCAGTGCACACCTTAATAGTGTTTTTTTGGACTGTGTATGAACAGAGCAGCTTGTTCCACATGAAACTTTGCCCCACCATTAAAGTTAGCATGACTCTTAAAACACCAGCACCTTTTTTTCACACTCGTGCAAAATAAGGCCAGGCCTTGATGAATACAGTACTAGAAAAATTCTCTATTTGAATGAAATCCAAAGCCATTTTCCTCATCTTTTTTGAACTACAGGTAGTCCTCGATTTACAACTATTTGTTTAGTGACTGTTTGAAGTTACAACGGCATTGAAAAAAGTGACTTATGAATGACCGTTTTTCACACTTACAACCTTTTCAACATTCCATGATCACATGATCAAAATTTGGACTCTTGGCAACTGGTTCATATTTATGACGGTTGCAGTGTGCCGGGTTCACGTGATCATATTTTGTGACCTCCTGGCAAGAAAAAGCCAAGAAGAAGCCACGAAGAAGTTACTAACTTAACAACCACAGTGATTCACTTAACAACTGGGGTAAGACAAGTTGTAAAATGGGGCAAAATGCTTAGCAACAGATATTTTGGGCTGAACTGTGGTTGAGGATTTCCTGTATATACAATAGTATATTGTATATACCAGTACAGATCATTCAGCATTTTCCCCAGCAATGGTTTCTCAGATATATGTATTTTTAATGTAAACCAGCTTTTTCTAATGTGATGCCCTCCAGATATAATAGGATTTCTAAGAATGGAGATCTCAGAATATTTGGAGTCCATATGTTAATATTAATCTACCAGATGAGCTGCCAGGAAGAAGTACAAGAACTTGTTACACAGCCAACATTAAATGAAAGACATTTTGACCAAGCATAATGTGTGAATCTTGTTACTTCAAATATCTGGGACTATTAAAGGCAGCACAATTTGAGGCTCAAGCTCTAGCTCTGCTAATGACTCCTTAGCAATGAAGCCCATTCACCCTATTTAAAACTTTGCAAACTTTTTAAAGTGCTAGAGCGGGGTATCAAACTCAATTTCATTGAGGGCCACATCAGCATTATGGTTGCCTTCAAAGGGCCAGGTGGGCATGGCTGGGTGGTCGTGGCCGGGTTGCTGTGACTAGGTAGGCATGGCTGGGTGCGCGCACGCATGCACACACACACACACACACAGACACACACACTCCATATTCCACGTTTGGGGATTTCTATCCACAGAGGAAGGAGAGGTCCTGCTCCCCAAGCCCAGACATGATTGGCAGCTTGCCACTCAGATATGGATAAAAGTCTCCAAGCTTGGGGTGGTGTGTGCATGCATGCAGCATGCCAAAGTTCTTGGTTGAATTACAAAGTTCTCTGGAGAGGAGGAGGAGTGGTGGGGAGCTGCATGAGGGAAAGTGCCCCAACAAGCCAGCATCCTTCTCAAAAGGATTCCCTTTTGAAAAGGGCTAGCCTCCCTCATGCAGGACCAGGGAGTGCTGCTCTCCTGCCTCCTCTTCTTGTTCTCCAGAGATGTGTCAAGGCAGAAGTTTGACTTCGTGCTTCCATGCACAATAGCATCACCCTCTGCCTCCTGCTTTGCCAGGAGGGGACACCGGACAGGAAAACGCCAATGTTCGGATGTCTGGCATTGGGAGAAGAACGTCTCCTTTGATGGTGAACCTTTTTAGAAACTGAATGCACAAACTGCAACCCAAAACCCACTTATGCATCATTGAGTGCCGGGTAGGTGTAGCCCATTGGCTGGGTGTGGCCAGTTGGGTGGGCGTGGCTGTGGTGGTAACGGCAGACTGGGTGGGACTAAAAAGTTCAATCAATCAATTCCAACTTTGCAAGATCTTTTTTTTCCCTGCGAGAAGTTGAAATTGACTGATTGAACCTTTTTTTTTTTTTTGCACATGGCGGCGGAGGCCTAAAGCGAAAAGGTTTTATAAAACCCAGCTGAAGGCCTAGGACTGGGGCAACGGCAATCATGCCCACAGAGAGGGCTCTGAGTGCTGCCTCTGGCACCCGTGCCATAGGTTTGCCACCACTGCCCTATTTTGTACCATTAAAACATTAACAACTGGATAAGCCAGGGTGAAGCGATGCCTGCTTTTCTCTGTTAACATATGCACCTTGTTTTGCAACATCTTATTATGCTTTATATCAGTAGTGGCGAACCTATGGCATGGTGCCAGAGGAGGTACTCAGAGCCCTCTCTGTGGGCATGCGTGCGTCGCCCCAGTCCTAGGCCTTCAGCTGGGTTTTATAAAACCTTTTTGCTTTACTCCTCCACCACCATGTACAAAAAAAAAAAGGTTCAATCAGTCAATTTCAACTTCTTGCAGGAAAAAAAAAAGATCTTGAAAAGTTGGAATTGATTGATTGAACTTTTTAGTCCCACCCAGTCTGCCATTACCACCACAGCCATGCCCAGCCAATGGGCCACACCCAGCCAATGCCACACCCACCCGTCACCCGACGATGCATAAGTGGGTTTTGGGTTGCAGTTTGGGCACTCAGTCTCTAAAAGGTTTGCCATCACTGCCTTATCTTGTTCCCACAACAAAGGAAGTCAACAGGACAACTTACTTAGAACGGCTGCAGATCAAACTATTGTAATAGTTAAAACGATGGGAGTAGCGGATTTAGTTATATGTTGGATATACCTCATTTCAGGGAGGCAAAAGGTCTCTCCTATAGGAATGTGTCAGATCTTCGACAAGAATCCCTTTTGCAGGAAAGAACAAAGATTCCCACCCATAGTTATAAAACAGTGATGGCGAACCTTTTAGAGACCAAGTGCCCAAAAACTGGCCCCGCCCCCGCTCCACCCCCTGCCCTGCCCTGCCCTGCCCTGCCCCCACCCCACCCTGCCTGCCTGCCTGCAGGGCCACTCACTGCCTCCAGGGCCCGCCGCAGATCGCCCAGGCAGCCCAGCAGCGCCATAGTGGCCACACCCTCTGCCCACGCCCTGAAGCATCAACTGCATGATGGGGTGTGAGGGCAGAGTCTTGTCTACACTGCCTGGTTGCCATGTCCTTGGCTGCGCTGCTCCCTGTGGGCCACGCTTGGGGGTGACTCTCCTCCAGGGGGGCTGCTGGTGAGGAGGGGGTCACGGGTGGAGGCAAGGCTGGGGCACCGGCATGTGTGCCCAGAGAGGGCTCCGAGTGCCGCCTCTGGCACCCGTGCCATAGGTTCGCCACCACTGTTATAAAACCTTTCTGCCAAGGAGTCTGTCTCAGTAAACCAGACCAGATGAGCTAATTCCACTTTATTCTACAGTTGCTTTGACAGAATCTTGCAAGCCTGAAAGTACAATTCTCCAGCCCTTTTACAGCCCAAGAAACCAGGGAGGATCTCTTTTGAGCTTTTGCCCCACCCACTATCCAACTGTGGGCTATGCTGTCTCTTGTCTGACCATTCTTGGCAGCATATCATCAACCAGTTTCCCGCAATCTTTCTCACAAGGCATTTCAGAGTCCAGGAAATCAATTGGACTTTTCTGCTACCTCTGAGCTTCCCATCCCCATCGCCAACACAAGATCTAATTTGTGCTTCCATTCCCCATACCAGCCCTGAGCCTCACCTATTTCCCCCACCATGCATTTATTACTCACACAACCCAGAAGCCACAAATGCCGACTGTAGCCAGGAACACAGGAAGCAGAGGCCAAAGCAACATGGTGATGGTACGCCTGAAGGCAAAAAACAAACAGTAACAACAAAAACAGGAGAAGACCATTAACGGTGGCCTCAAGTTCCAGGAATCAGGATTAGATGGGGAACAAAATGAAATCAACAAAATGGAGCCCAGGACGGAGACCATATCCCTGAATTCTATGAACCTGGGTAATAACCATTAGATAAAATAATTACAAGCCAGGTTTCCTGGGATCTTTAACTAAATCCATTGACAAGATGATTTCTCGAATCTGCAAAGTCCAGGAAACCTCATCAGCCTTCTCCAAAAGGCTTCTGGCTTGCAAGTGGATGCCACAAGAATTAAAAAGGAAAACCAGGGAGGCTTAAATCTCTAGTTACAAATATATGGATAAAGGTTTATGGCCATTCCTCTGACTCAACAGCCAAGCAGCAAGGCTAGGCTCCTGCCAAGAATTAAAGCAAAAGGTTTTCTTCCTCATAGCTAGGGACCATGAGAAATTGCACTGAAATCTAGGTATACTAAGTGGGGAACTGGCACAGTCCTGCTTACTATGCTGTTAGACAACAGGCAGAGGTGTCCTGTTGGAGGCTTTGGAATAAATAATGGGAGAATTGGATATTACACTTGATTTTAGCCAAAATATATAGAAGGAATCAGAGATTCTGGGCTTGGTTTTGTGGGAATAATCCAGAGAAAGAAATATTTTGGGAAATATTAAAAAGGCAGAATATATTTCACCAAAGGATTTTAAAGGCAGACCCCCCCCCCCCCGCAAGTCTCTCTGCCCCAAATAGAAACCAGGTCTGCAGAAATGCAGATGTGATAATCTTATCAGAAAGACTGGAGTCAGGAAACTGGGATTAGGAAGAAAGTTCCCTAGAATCAACAATCCCTCACACCAAAAATCCAACAGTCATCAGCCACAGCCCCAGAGAAGCAGGCTATGATTTTTGGGTCAGAATAGGATTAACCCGCCACCATCAGAATACCAGAATACACTGAGACTAAGGTCAAAGTTCATGCCACAGGAACAACTCCAAACAAAAGCCCAAGAAGGTATAAAAACCCACTCCCTACTACATGCGGTCACTTTTTTTCCCCAGAGCCATCTTTCTGTCTGGCTCTCCTGTTCAATAAACTACAACCTTCTTTCTAAAGGAGTCTCCATGTTGTTTATTCCCGGCTTGGACTGGACCCTGATGAAGATTTTTCCTTCAACAGTTTCTTGAAACTTTGAATTTAAGAATTTCCTTACCCTACAGCTGCTTGCTGTAATGTTCAGTTTTTTTTCCCCTGTTCAGGATCAAACTCTATTGCAGAAGGAATGAAAGTATGTCAGGTTGTTTTCTAATCACCACACCCAACTCTGGGCTCCTCAGTTGGGGCAAAGGGCACTGTTGCAGTGCTATCAACCTGAGACTTTTGTCCCAGCAAAAGCTTCATTAGTTATGTAACTGACAGCAAAAGCAAAATTTATCTATACTTTATCAGACCCTGGATGCTCCCGTAAGAGTCGGTTCATTTATTTTTTCAGGAAGATCCCTCTCTGTACTGGCAGATTTTGGATCAGCTGGAGCAAGCCCTACAATCTTCAGTCAACATGGCCTCTGGCTATGCGTCCTCAGGATTTGGAGAATTAAAGTCCAGAACTTTTAGAAGACTCCTCTGTTGGGAGATTTAAAAATACATGGGTATGAGAACCCAGATTCTTGTAGAACCTGTTAATTTTGCATAAAGGCATTTCAGCAGCCAGCCAGAGAAAACTCTTACATTCATGAGAAATGAAGTAAAAATAGTTTAAAAAACAAACCTGACATAATTTCTCAGGGAAGAAGTTGGGTAGCTTAGTTGATTTAACATCCTCATTCATTGCTACTGTTGAGCTTCTAGTCCAGTTCTTTAGAGCCTGGGAACCATACTACGCCATAGGGGAATTAACGAACTGTGATCCCACAATGCAATCTTAAAGAGCAGCAAAGATGAAACCCAGCCAAGATTAATTTGTATTTGCTTCATTGTGTGTGTATAATCTACTTTTTGGTTGCATAGCCCTTTCAAAGCCTGGGAATCTCCTCTTTGGGGGAAGGTAGTATTCTGCTGCTAGAACACACAGAGGTTTGCTAAATTTCTGGGTTTTTCCACCGTTCTTGACAAATGACTATTATTTATATCCTGAAGAGGTGAAAGGGTGAAATACATTCAAATAAGCAGCAAGGGAGGGACCGTCTTTAAGCAGCTGAATCCGAATCCCACCCTCACCTTCCCTAACCTGGTTCTTAGTAGGTGCCTTGGATCACAATTCTCACTATCCTTGGTAGCAGAATGGACGGTCTGTGGATTGAAGATGGTGGGCATGGTACTTAGTCAAAGGAGGCAAGAATGCACCAAAATGGAGAAGACTGCTTTTAATCCAACCCCCTGCCTTCTGACCAATACCCAAAGAAATCCTTGACTTAACCACGCTCCCTTTCCTTTGTAGTAAAATTGTGTTCCGAGGACTGACTGGTTTTGCTCAAGGAATGCCACTCACTGTCCTTTGTTCAAGATGATGTTAGAATTACTTGGTGCTGGCACAGATGTAATCTGCAGCTTACATGAAGCCAGTGATTTTTTCCTGAAGGAATGTAGAAATCTTGAATTTAAGAAACTGGATTTGCAGCAACACATGGAAGGCTGATCCAGGTAAAAAGATGGCGGGGCACATTTTGTCACCTACGAATCAAAAGACAGTGGTTTTAGGATCCAAAAAGTGATTGTCTGTGTAACCTGAGATTAGCCAATTTATCTGATTTTTAGGAGTGTCATTGCAGCTGGGTACATGCAATGTATTTTTCTGGGGGGGGGGGGGGAATGGCTGAATTTGTACAGTATGCTAAACTGAAACCAAGTGTTAATACTATAGCTCAGTGGTTCTCAACCTGTGGGTCGGGACCCCATTTGGGGTCAAACGACCATTTCACGGGGGTCGCCAAACAACGCAGTCCGCCATTTTTTTCCCCTTGTCCTTAGCTGTGCTACTCCCTTTTATTCTATTGGCTTTTGAAAGCCAATAGAATAGACTCTCTTGAATAGAGTCTAATTCTATTGGCTTTCAAAAGCCAATAGGAATTGTCCAGGCTGTCTCTGCCCTGCTGAGCACACCAAAAGTCCCATTCTGCAAATGGTGCTGCAAGTTGTCTGCAGCGAAGGCAAGCTGTCTGGAAGTTTCCACCCCTCCCTGCTGAGCAACTACTAAAAATGTAAGTAAAAGAGGGCCAGGAGTGGGAGGTGGGAGCCCGGCGGGCGCAGGGAGGGTTGCTGGCATGCGTGGGGTCCAGCAGGTGCCTTACCTCCCTAGGGCTGGGCCAGCTGGTGGCCCATCCGGTGGTCGGCCTGCTCCATCTCTGCCACTTGCCAGCTATGCCTTGACTGGTGCAGGGGGCGGCACCACGCATGTGCGGCTCTCCCAGGCAGGGAAAGTCCTTGACTTATGACCGGTTGGGTAGTCCTTGACTTACGACCGGTTGGGTAGTCCTCGACTTACGACTGGTTGGGGGTCGCGGCATTAAAAAGGTTGAGAACCACTGGTCTAGACTCCCTATCGTGCAGGTTGTAAGACTGTCCCTAGATGGCAGAGTTCTGGAAAAGCAAGAATCTATTGTACAATATTTCTGCAAGGAGAAAAAGTACTGCATAATTTTTTTTTCCCTTGGTGGCCAACAATAGATTGAACAGTACAGCAGAGACAATAACCACTATGTCTAGCAGGCAAAATATTAGGAGCCTGATAGCACCTTTTCCAACGAACACATTTTATAAAAAGGTATAAGTTTTTATGAGTTGTAGCTTACTTCGTTAGATGCACAGAGTGGCTAGACTGATGTGAGATTAACAAGTATTGTGCTAAAAGCCCAACATGTTTATTGAGACCTTCATCATCTGCCTGAAAGTTTTTGATGTATTGCTCAATGGTGAAATTAAAGTCTTTCCACCCTCCCCAAAAAACAGTCACTCTCTGAGGTCTGCCCTAGAATATCCTGGATGGTTAAAAACAACAGCTGAAAAAACAAATAGTCAGTACAGGTAGTCCTAAACAGTTCTTTTAGTGACCGTTTGTGGGAAGTCAGCCCCCCAGAGAAGGAAATATTAAAAAGGTAGAAAAATGTATTTCCTCAAAGGATCTTTATGCAGAATTTATCCAGAATGTTTCTATTGCCTGTTTTGTATTAGTACCCCCCCCCCACACACACACCATTCATAATCACACTCTTTCATCTTCCTTCAGTAAAGCTCCAGCTTGATTCTTGCCCTGTGTCATTAAAACTTTGTAGGAACAACTTTCAGCAAAATTCCAAGGGGGAGGGAACCAGGCCCCCTCAGGTGATTTGAAATTCATATGCCCTGACTAGGGGAATAGCAGAAAAGAGATCTCCAAACCTAAGCCCTGGATATCTTGCACTGGTGGACTCAGATTGGGAGTCCTAGGGCTCACTATGTGCAATTTAAGAAAACGTAATAGCTTGGCTTGCATACTGGCTATCCTCAATTGGACATCACTAACCTGGATGAACTGAACTAAGAGCTAAGGCAGCCAGTGAAAACGGGTAGCCACTGGTTATGTACTGATGAAGACCATGGCTGTGAAGAATTTTGAGAGGCATGTGCTTCAAAACCTGACTGAAAGCTCAAAGTGACATCCAACATTCAAAAAGAATTGGCATAGAATATTGGACACTATAAATTTCTTTTCCATCTAACAGAATTTTTGCTCTGGTGTTAGACCTTCATGGTTGAACTCTATTAGTGCCTCCCCCCCCCTTTTTTTTTTTTTGCATTAGTAGTTTAAAGTTTGTTGACCAAGTCTCCCTGATCAGATAAATCTTAATCTTGTGCCATTAAAAGTGTGTCACCCATCCTATTATGGCACAAAGGGGAGATTTGTAGGAAGCCATCCCCCCAGAGAAGGAAATATTAAAAGGGCATAAAAATATATTTCCTCAAAGGATCTTAAAGAGGCAGAAAAACATGCCCAGTTTTCTTAATAGCCCCAAGTCTCCCTCCCCAAAGCAGAAACCAGCTCTGTAAAAATGCAAATGTAAATAATCCAGTAAGGTTGGAGGCCCTGAGCTAGAAGATTAAGTTAAGAAGACAAAGACACCTAAAATCTACATACCCGACCCAAAGTGACTTATGACCACTTTTCACACTTATGACTCTTGCAGCCTCCCCATGGTCACATGATCAAAATTCAGATGCTTGGCAACTGAGTCATATTTATGACAGTTGCAGTGTCCCAGAGTCATGTGATCACCTTTTGCAACCTTTTGACAAGCAAAGTCAATGGGGAAGCCAGATTCTCTTAACAATTGTGTTACTAATTTAACAACTGCAGTGATACACTTAACAACTGGGGCAAGAAAGAGCATAAAATGGACAAAACTCACTTAACTATCTCGCTTAGCAACAGAAATTTTGGGCTCAATTGTGGTAGTAAGTCAAGGACTAATATATTTCTTTCCCTATGAGGATTGTGTAAACCTCCCAGAGCTAATAAAAGTGAATGAGCGGCCATATAAATTCTCTAAATAAATAAATAATCCTATTGGCTGCCAAAGTCAGGGGAACATTTAGGGCAAAGTATTATATTGTAGGAGAGAAAATAAATTAAAATCCATACACAGAAATAATAGCCAGATCAGTTTTCTCAGATGTATCTTGTACAAATATAAGGGGAGAATTTGGAAAAAGACAAAAGCCCAGCTTTCATACGCTTTATAAAGAACTATGCTTGCAAAAGCAGAAGCTGAGACTTAAAAAGAGCAGGCATTTTTAAATTATCCAGTATTTTTTTGTTTCTTTCCTGCCAGTGCAACAATTAGAGAAGGAGAAGACTGGAGAAATACTAATGACAACAAAGTTACATCCTCTTAGTTATGTGATGAGCTGAATGTCTCCGGAGCTATAACCCCTAATTGACATTTAGAGCTTCAAGTTCACTAGGGAATTATGGGAGTTGAAGTCCACCCATCTTAAAATCCCTGAGCTAGAGAAACACTTTTAAGAGTTATACTTTACCCCCAGTGTTTCTCAACCTTGACAATTTTAAGGCATGTGGACTTCAACTCCCAGAATTCCACAGCCAGCAATGTCCCAATTCTGGGAGTTGAAGTCCACATGCCTTAAAATTGTCAAGGTTGAGAAACACTGCCCATTTTAAACCTACAAATAACAGGAACAGGGACAAATTTCTATAGCGGCTGAAGGACACATAGCCTTTTTTCCTTTTGGTCCTAATCCTGGGCCACACATACTCTGGCAACATTTTTTTTTTTTTAATAATCCCAGGCCTGTGAGTGAAAGGAACTCG